GGTGAGAAAGGGGAGACGCAGAAATCCCTAGGCCACCCCTGAAAACCGTGGGGTGTCGACCGCCGCCTTGCCTCGAGACCGCCGCGCGGCTTTCCGCGGTAAGGCGGTGGCGACAGCCGCGACTGGCGTGCACCACGGGGGCCTCAGCGAAAATTCCGGGGAAACGGCCGTGGCTCAAAAAGACGCACCAAAATGGCTGTGGGTCAAAACCGTTTTGGTACCATTTTGGGATAGGTGCACCACCCATGTTAGTCTATTTTAGTGGGGATTGGGATGTTCACTGGGGGTACGGGATTTTGACCAATGGCCAAAATGCCAACTTGGTACATAGAACCAAAGACCAAAACCTGCGTAACCCTAGCTCTTAAATTTTGAGCCCCACCCAAATGGATGGGGCAAAACAGCTTCTGACAAATGAGCAACGCGGGAAAATGGACCTCTCTTGACAAAGAACTCCTCAACAAAATCGGCTTTTTATGCCCAGCCTTCCATTCCCTCACCCTGACAACACGTTGGTCTTGTTGCTTGACCCTCAGCCGCCATGCGCCTAGGACGATCAAAACCTGTGGACCAGCCAAACGAACCTGCTTGAACAACCCGGGCATGTTCGAGGCCGTTTCCACGAAGCTATCCGAAAAGCCTTTGCCCGAAAACCGCGTGCTTGAATCTGGCCATTGAGTGAACCTTGACTCACATGTAAATGAGTTCTGAGGTGGGGGTTCACATTTCGGCACCTGAAAATGGGTGTCTTTCTTTTCGGCTTCCCTTCAAACACCACCAAAAACAGTAGCGCCCCTCTGCCAGAACACCATTCCCCTTGTCTTTTTGGCTTCCCTTATAACAAACAAAACTCGCACATTCCCGCTGTCTTCTTGGCTTCCCTTGTAAACAAACACAGAAGACAAACAAACGAAACCGCCGAAAACCCCAAACCGCGCCACACCCAAAAACCGGGGGGTGATCTGAATTCCCCATGCCTCGGCGCCCCGGCTCCGACTCCGCTTTCGGCCTTTCCCGTGGCCATCCTGTTTCGCGCAATGAACGAAGAAGTGGTTGACGGTGGACGGCTTCCTTATTTCCTTCTTTAATGATTTCTGGATTATTGATTGGTAAAACTTGTGAATGAGATATTGCGAAAGGAAAGGTTATTACGGAAAGGACGGGCAGATGCCAAGCTTAGGAAGATAAGATATTAATTCCCTTTCTCTCACTCCCTAACCGCTGTTATCTGGTTTGTCTTTGGATGAGTCTCCCTTCATTTGGATCACTCAAGCTCTAGAAGCGACTAGACGTAGGAAGGGAGATTAAGGTAGACCAAAGTAAGTTTTTCAAGTGAATCCTCTTGAACCGACTGGAAGATAGCAGCGGGGACCCCGCGCTTCTCAAAATGGACCATGGAGTGAACCCACCTTTTGGTTAAGCAACAAGGAACGATCGAACCATTGACTTCTGAACCTTTTTTGTACCACTTGGGGAAGAAGGACAAGTAAGAGGGCGACTTGAGAAGGAAACCATCCACGTCTTCAACAAGAAAAATATGAGTTCCTGGGCTCCTTGCTGAGAGCGCTAAGGTTTTAGCGGGATTCCCTCTATGGCTGACTGTGGCGGTCAGGGAATCAGGGAAGACCACTTTCATCTGAAGGCTCAAAACCTGAGCTGGGGGGGACTTTTTTTCTGAAGGCAGATGGCCATGAAGACATGGCCCTCTAACTTCCGCCTTCTCTTGAAAATTTGCGTCCAAAGGTGGACACCTTTGGAACGGTATACGTGCAACAAACATGCAACCCCCTGCCATTGGGGTCCATCCCTTCTTGCAATAACTTGGTTGACGTTGGAAGGGGAGCAAAAATTGAACTTTTAGCAGTGCGGTGGGGATTTCCCACTAAACCACAATAAGCAAAAATGTAAAATGTTTCCCAACAACAACCATGATAAACCCACTTGGAGTCATTTATGAGACCTGGCATAGGGATCCGCAACCAACCCACAGACTCAAAAGGCGGGGAATCTCCGCACCTTGAGAAATTGGCTTCCCAAGAAAACAAAAACAACGACAAAAACGGCCAGCCTCTGCCCGATCGAAACTTCTCACGGACCTCGGACCGAGCACTCGTGCGTGGTGAGCGCCTGCCATGATTTCAGTTGTGGACCCTTTGGATCGATGTCCAACCAGTTTTAGGTCGTTCCCCTTTGACATTTGGCTGTGGGTCAAAAATAGGTACCCAACATGGAACCCTGGTAAGTGGGAAAAAGGACTGAAACCTGCGGTACCCTGTTTAATTTTTGACCCATGCCCATTTCACTCGGGTCTTTAGCGCCTGTAAATTCGGCCGAATGTACATTCGGCCGTGCTCCTAAACAGCCATCGTCTGCAAAGCAGCGCCCCATTCGAGCAAATGCACCGATTAAAGGCCCATGGGCAAAGGATCAAGCGGAATCTACACAAACTGCTTCCCATGTTGGTCAGCCCTTGCCCAAACTTCCAACTCCATTCGGAAAAAGCAAAAATCTGAGACTGCTCCTCAAAGGGCCAAATCCAAGCGTGGCTCAAAGGCTATCAAATCTTCGGTTGGGGGGTATTGGTATTTTGGGGCTGTTTGACAGCCAATGCGGCTAGTGGTGAGCTTCCTCTAAGCTTTATCCAAAAGGGGGAAACACACGCCATTCTCAAGTGAAGCGGGGAAAAAAAACAGCTGCTCCATCACGCCCAGCGGCAAAAAGCCCTCTGGAGGTGCTGTACCGCCGAAGCTGACAGGCGGGTGTTTGGACCCGCTTTCCTCTTGAAAAAGGGAGCTTCTCAACCTGCTGCACCCCAATTTTTTCCTCCCACTTTTGCAGAAAAACCGAAAGAGGCACCCGAAAACAATTTTAGGGGAGTGCTGAAATTTCGAGAAACACCCAGCCCGGCCCGGCCGTCTCTCCGGGCCACTCACATCTGGAGCCGAAGCCCTAGGCCGCCCGGCGCCCAGGCCTCGAAGTCTTGCGGCCTGCGGCTACGGCGAGATCTGTTCGAAGCTCCCCGGCGAAGAAGTGGCCCCCAACTGTTTGCGGGGTTTTTCGTACGGAAAACCGACATTGGTTGGCACTTTTGGCGGGTTTTTCTAATACGGAAAACCGAGATTCTAGTTGACGAAAAGCTGTCTTTAGTCCGAAGATCCCTGGGGAAACGCGCTGCGAGAATCCTCGGAAGAGGGAAAGCGAGGATGGGTGGCTCGTCTTTCTTCGACGTTGGTGCGAAGGAAAACGAAAAGACGAAAAGGGAACCTTTCAAGCCGTTTCAAGTACTTTCCCCTAAAGAAGGACACACCCAAATGAAACAACACCAGATTTGGGGGAGATTCCCCACATTCTTCCTTTCCCGACACAGGGGCAGAATTTGGCTCTCGACTCCTGGCTTCAGCTCGCCACCTGCCTGGCGATGCACTCGTCTGCCAGGCAGTCGCTGATGCGCGCCAAAGCCATCCTGGCAGAAGCTTCAAATGGCGGGGGCGGGAGCTCGAGCAACTCTGGAAATTAGAGGTGGTCCTGCAACAGATTCATGTGGCCATGGGTCAAAACCCAAATCGTACCCCCAGTGAACATCAAAAAATATCAACTAAATTAGACTAAAATGGGTGGTGCACCTATCCCAAAATAGTACCATTGGTGTTGAACCATGGCCATGTAACGATAAGGCAATGTTCGCGAAGCTTAGTTTGCTCATGATGTTAATGTAACGACACCCATATGATGAACACCAGCTCTTGCTTTGTGCTGGCAAAGTGTCTTCAAGACATGCAAGACATCTCATCTCCCAGAACTCAGCATTCCCTTCTTAGATTCTTGGGGGACTTCTTTCGGCATTCCCTTCTTGGAGTCTTGGGGGACGTATTTCAGGTCGGTGAATTCTATGGCAAGAGGCCTCAAGGCTTGGTTTCCATGTTGAACGCAGCCAAACCCCAAGGTCCGAAGATGATGATCAACTGGCGCACATGAACATGACATTTCCTTCAGATCAACTGGCGGACATGAGCCAGGGTCATTTGTATGTTATTTTGGGGCATGGGACAATCAGGGCTAGCCCTCTTAATGTGCTCCCGCCCCAATCTCTGTTCGTGGCTGGGAAGCAAGTTCAGCTTGGGCCGATCCTTAGCACTGTGAAGGCTGGGCTGGGCAATTTCTCCCTTGAAAGGGGGAGCCGCTCTGGCGAGTGGTGCTATGGCAAATGTTTTCTGGCAGGACCTGAGTTCCGACTTGGCCAAAAAAAACAAACATATAGCAGGAAGGCTGCCAAAGAGTATCTGGCGGAAACGCTCACGCTCACGTCAGGGTGTTACTTCCCATTTCCGGCGAAGGGCTATGTCACAAGGGTCTGTCCCGGGAAACAGCTCCGCAACCCTGGGTACGCATTGCAACTCGACGGCTTTTTTTTTGCATTTCGCCGAGGCTCAAGACGTGCTTGCAGCCCATCTGCTTCCAGACACGGGGGGCACTCTCGGGATCCTCTGAAACTTCCACAAAAAAAAGTTCGGGGAAACTTCCCATCTGCGACATAGGGGCACAAGTGATCCCGATCCAGAAAAACATAGAATGGCACTCTCGGTGTTTTTCTCAAGATGGAGATCCCACTTGGGATCCCTTTGGGTTGAGAGTCACCCAACATCCCCAGTCGGTTACGCCGACTCGGTTTAGATCCCCGGCGCCTCAGGCCGTCGAAGTTCGCGGCCAGGCGGCAGGACTGGTGCCCGGTCCTCGGAGACTAAGGCAAGCGAATGGAAGAAATGTGTTCAACATTCTGAGACAACATTGACCCCCAAACCACTACCCCCAGAAGCCAATGGATGTATACAGGTTATATACGGTCTTAGAAACATCACGGTCCTGTATCATTTCTCTATATGGAACTAGGTCCTCCAGAGAGGTTAGAATTCGGGTACCAACTTTTTTCTGTAGTCAATTTTAGTAAGGGTAAAAGGGCACTACTGGGGGACCTAGACGTAATGGTCCTGTATCATATCCAATTCATGATGTTGAATCATGAGGATTTTCCATCATACATCATGTTCCATCAATTCATTGTGTTGAATCCTTTGTTCAAGCAAGATGTTGTACCATATCGTATATGGAATAATAAACTACAATAAACAACATATGTTGGTTGATTGTCCAACATCATGGAATAATAAACAACATGTTTTGGCTTGTCCAACATACACTGTCAAAGCATATATATATATATATATATATATGGTCACACCCCCCCCCCATGAACTACATTTGCATTGCTCAGTTTATATAACCCTTACAAAACACTGGTATTTACGGTGTTGTCTACATGTTTTGGAAGTACAACTGCAAGAAAATACCGGCCGGATTTCGGCCCTCAACCAATTCACCTCAGCAGTAGAAAGTGCAAACAACACTGAGTTTTTGAAGTGTGTTTTGGCCGAGTGGTAAAACACCTGCATTTTTTTGATGTTGTTTTGTTTTTTGAGCTCCATAAGCTCAAAAAACTAAAAACAACTCGAGGAAAACCAAAGAAAACAAAAAAAACTCGAGAAACCCAAAAAACCAAAAAACCAAAGACTTTGGCTGGTTTTGGAAGACTGCTTTGGTTTTTTTGGTTTTCTCGAGGTTGTTTTTGTTTTCTTTGGTTTTCCTCGAGTTTCTTTGGTTTTTTGAGCTTATGGAGCCCAAAAACCAAAAACACATGTGTTTTTTGGTTTGTGCACAGTGCTTACCCACCAAAACCATAAAATACATTGTGTGTTTTGGTTTTTGGGCTCCATGAGCTCAAAAAACCAAAAAAACTCAAGGAAAACCAAAGAAAACCAAAAAAACCTCGAGAAAACCAAAAAACAAAAAAACCAAAGACTTTGCTGGTTTTGGAAGACTGCTTTGGTTTTTTGGTTTTCTCGAGGTTTTTTTGTTTTCTTTGGTTTTCCTCGAGTTGTTTTTAGTTTTTTTGAGCTTATGGAGCCCAAAAACCAAAAAAACACAGTGTATTTTATGGTTTTGGTGGGTAAGCACTGTGCACAAACCAAAAAAACACATGTGTTTTTTTGGTTTTTGGGCTCCATAAGCTCCAAAAACCAAAAAAACTCGAGGAAAACCAAAGAAAACAAAAAAAACACCTCGAGAACACAAAAAAACCAAAGCAGTCTTCCAAAACCAGCAAAGTCTTTGGTTTTTTGGTTTTTTGGTTTTCTCGAGGTGTTTTTGGTTTTTCTTTGGTTTCTTCGTTTTTTGTTTTTTTTTGGTTTGTGGTGTGTTGGTCAGTCTATTTGAAGAGGAGGTGCCCTTGGACACTTCCGCATCACTTCCTCATCACTTCCTCATCACTTCTTTATTACATCGTCACTACTTCATCACTTCCTCATCACTTCCTCATCACTTCCTCATCACTTCCTCATCACCTCCTCATCACTTCTGCATTACTTCGTCACTGCTTCATCACTTCCGCATCACTTCCTCATCACTTCTTTATTACATCGTCACTACTGCATCACTTCCTCATCACTTCCTCCTCACTTCCTCATCACTTCCTCATCACTTCCTCATCACCTCATCATTGCTCCCTCATGACTTGTTCACTTCTTGCTCAGAATATGGTTGACATGTCTTCACATTTCCTCAACATTTCCTCATCCAGATGCATTTGGTGTTATCTTTGGCACTTGGTGGATGCAGACACAGGCCTATGAACAAGGACAAGTGTTTTTGGGCTCCATGAGCTCAAAAAACCAAAAAAACAAGGAAAACCAAAGAAAACCAAAAACAACCTCGAGAAAACCAAAAAAAACAAAAAACCAAAGACTTTGCTAGTTTTGGAAGACTGCTTTGGTTTTTTGGTTTTCTCGGGTTTCTTTTTGGTTTTCTTTGGTTTTCCTCGAGTTGTTTTTAGTTTTTTTGAGCTTATGGAGCCCAAAAACCAAAAAACACAGTGTATTTTATGGTTTTGGTGGGTAAGCACTGTGCACAAACCAAAAAACACACATGTGTTTTTTGGTTTTTGGGCTCCATAAGCTCAAAAAACCAAAAAAAACTCGAGGAAAACCAAAGAAAACAAAAAAAAACACGAGAAAACAAAAAAAACAAAGCAGTCTTCCAAAACCAGCAAAGTCTTTGGTTTTTTGGTTTTTTGGTTTTCTCGAGGTTTTTTTGGTTTTCTTTGGTTTCTTCGAGTTTTTTTTGTTTTTTTTGGTTTGTGGTGTGTTGGTCAGTCTATTTGAAGAGGAGGTGCCCTTGGACACTTCCGCATCACTTCCTCATCACTTCCTCATCACTTCTTTATTACATCGTCACTACTTCATCACTTCCTCATCACTTCCTCATCACTTCCTCATCACCTCCTCATCACTTCTGCATTTCTTTGTCACTGCTTCATCACTTCCGCATCACTTCCTCATCACTTCTTTATTACATCGTCACTACTTCATCACTTCCTCATCACTTCCTCATCACTTCCTCATCACCTCCTCATCACTTCTTCATTGCTTCGTCTCTGCTTCATCATTGCTCCCTCATGACTTGTTCACTTCTTGCTCAGAATATGGTTGACATGTCTTCACATTTCCTCAACATTTCCTCATCCAGATGCATTTGGTGTTATCTTTGGCACTTGGTGGATGCAGACACAGACCTATGAACAAGGACAAGTTGGTGTTGGCAGACTTGACAAGTTCAGACGCAGATGAGCAGATGGATCAAAGACACATGCCCCAAATGTAGTTCATGGGGGTGTGTGTGAGCATATATATATATATATATATATATTATGTATATCATGGGGTTGAACTATGAATTGAGCAAAGTATTTCCTCCAAGACCAACTTCGCCCGGCGGTTTGGATCGTTTCCCATCCCACAAGAACCAGGTCCCATGTAGGGTCCAAATCACCGAACGAACGCCGCCTAGGGACCAGGGGGTACCTGAGGTAAGGTCAAAAGCAGCTTGCGGACTTCCCGGTAAGGTAGTGGGAAGGAGGGATGCATGCAGAAAAAAACATGGGGGCAAGGGTCGAGGGGCCTATCGGGCTGGAGTGGGGATTGCGGGTGTCCCTACTAACATGGGATCGCGCGAGTTGAACAGGGAAATTGCGTCATCTACCTTACGAAACTGCCTCGTTTGCGTGCGGAAACGCTTCCTGTTCCATGGACACTGGCGCCGCCTTTTCGCTCGAGGCCCCCTTCCGGGGCCCGGAACGACTCCAGCTGTGTGAGCCAAAGTTGGCAGGGCCAAAGCTTGCTCCCCGAAGCTGTCCCAAACCCAAAGTCGACGCCTTGCTAGAGACCTTGCTTGCAAGCCACGGGATCACCTCCGAAGCGGACTTGCGGCCTGAGGTGCACGCCTGTGGTTCGGGTCGATGGTCACTTTGGCGTTGCAATCCTGCGGGCCGTTTTGGACGGGTGAACGTGAAGTAATCCATCGGATTCCCCTACTTTCTTGGTTCTCTCACCTACCTGGATTCAATCAAGTCCTCAATGGATCTTTAAAAACAACATCGAGAACACATGCCGGAGTTTTGCCTGCGGATTCCAAGCATCCCATTTGAAGGCTGTTGGCTAGGTGGTTTTGTTTCCCCTCTGTTGCAGAAATTTCTGACAAGTGTCCAAGAAGATTTCGTCCAAAAACCTGGCCCCCCTTTTGTTTCAAGGCAAATGGCCCAAAGTTCGCTCGCGCGCGGCCCCAAAACGCTCGCCTCCTGCAGCTGCTTCACATTAGAGCCCTTGGGCCCAATGATGGCAGAGCCCACACGGATCCTCGGAACGCTCGAATCGAGCCAAAACCCCAGCGGACTTCTGGAAGGGGGGGGGGCTGGTAGGGTAATCTTAAAAAAAAGCAGATAACATGGTTCCTTTCCTAACTCGGTTGCTTTCTGCTCTCCTGCTAAAAGTTTAACTTTTAGTGGTTTAATATGGAAAACCCAATTTAGTCGGCAAAAAAATAAAGTCCTAACATCCCCTGGCAAAATGCACCAAAGCTAAGGAAAATCCGATTGTGGAGGAGTCCCAAGTGAGGTGCTCAACTCTCTTTGACTTTCGGCGCCGCCGACATGGCTACAAAGGCTCATATGTTTGTATAGTCCGTGCTGTAACTGACTGTTGGGAATTTCTGGATTACTATAATCTACATGAAAGGTGAGTCAAAATCAAAACCGATCGGTGCAAACATGGTCGTAATCCCAGAACCATGCTTCAAGAATTAAGGCGGATATCTATTCATGGCTGGGATTGTTCTTAACCTTACTCTCTTGACCTATGCCTGGCTTTGGGCTTGGGGCTCTAGGGTCCGGGCAATGAGTGATGAGGGAATCCCCCTGGTGGGAATTTCTGGACTACTATAATCTACATGAAACAAGGGAGGGACCACCGACCAAAATTAGAGGAACAGCTTCAGCCGTTCTGACCCAACGTGTTGGGGCTTGCGGTGGTTTAAGGGAAACTTGCTAGTGTTTAGGTGGTTTTCAGAGGAAAACCACGCCGTTTTGGTTGATATCCCCATTTTCGGATCCTTTACGTAGGGGGTACTTCCGCACTCTGAATCCAGGTATGCTTCTTTCCAGACCGCCCCAACACCCAGCTTCTTGTCTTTCTTTTTTCACAGGGCTGGTTGTGGCAAAACGAACGGGTTGACAAGAACGATTTGGTTAAGACCCCTGGAAAAAATATATAATATTTCCAGTAGTGATAGATTCCCTTTTAAAACCAACAAGGGAAAACATATTCTTAAGCAAACGGAAGGCAATGGAAAGGAGGTGTCAACCCTCACAAGCCGAAGCCAAAAGCCTGGCGGTGAGACAGAGGGTTTGCAAGTGGGGCCCTTGTGTTGGTTGTCCTAGGTTCCGTCTTTCTTGAGTCATAATCAAAACCCGGTATCAAAATGGTCTACCCAGAACCACGTACAGAATTAAGAAGGCGGCCGCAACTATGTATGGTTGGGATTCTCCCTTACTAACGTTCATCTACCCAAGAATTTTAATTCTGGCTCTGGTGGCTTAGCAGTGTGGCTTGGAGAAGGGGCGTTCCCATGCGGCAACGAGAAGCAGTGGGAACGAAAAAACCATCCAAACAATCCGAAGGTGAGCAACAGCAAATGACTCAAGCTTCCGTGTGGAACCTTTTGAGGCTCTACGCCCCTGGATGGTTCAGGGAAACCGAAGCGAAGCAGCGAAACCACAGAATTGTGTCGGAGGGGTCCCTTTCAAACAAACCCAGTCCATAAGTCCCTGTTGTAACACTGTTGTACGAACAGTCTGAATGTCGCCAACCTATATCTGGCTCAAAAATAAAAATAACAAATTCCAACAGCCGCATGGAAACCCCTACGTGTCCCTTTCCATGTTTGGGGTTCCCCTATGTCTTTGTTCCTTAAGTTTTTCATCCGGGCAAGTGGACCCATTCAGCCTGAGCGCCCCACGGCACAGCGGCGCGCAGCACGAGCTCCTCGGGCTCCTCGCAAAAAGGCTCCGCGGAGCTCCGCGGAGAAGCTCGGCGGCTCGGTTCTCAGTTGGATCATACCTTCCCCCAGACATCCCCAGACGAACGATAGCGGATATGATTTAGAGACAGATTCAGTTGTACCGTTCTGATCTTTTTGCACCTTCTTAACTTGCTAAGGGCCCCCCCTCCCCCCCGAAAAATTGGTAGCTTGCTAGCTGGCCCTCTTTCCGCGAAGGGTTGCTAAGTTGGTGACTTGCCAATCTGCCTGGGCCTATGCGTGAAATACACATGTGTTGTGGCTATGTTATACCCTCCCCCAGACGTTTCCATGGAAGCTCCCGAACGGACCCCGAAATGGAAGACTTGGTTCCATTTACAGGATCGGTCTTCTGGGAGCTTCCATGCTAGTCTAAGGGAGTGTAATCAAAATCTAGTTTTAAAATGGTCGTAATCCCAGATCCATGTAAAGAATTCAGAAGGCGGCCGCAGCTATTGATGGTTGGGATTGTCCCTTACCAACCTTCAGACATCCGGGTTTTGATTGAGTTCCCTCAACAGGGAATCAAAAGGATCCAGATATTCAAGGAACCAGAGAAATGACCGGGATTTTGTCCACTAGATCCGCTACAACATTCCATGCCCTTGGTAGTTCCCAGGCAAGCCACCTGGTCGGGATCCATCCGAAATGAACAATCACCAAGGGCTTTAAAAAACCGCGGATTTAATGTTGACCCCGTATTAATAAACCCCTGTTTATTAGTATGGGGGTGTCCCTGGTTTTAGTGGGAATCGTCACTTTTTGGAGGGGAACACCCCCATATTAAGAAACAGGGGTTTAACAATCCGGGGTCAACATGACCAGAAGAGGCGTGCCCCTGTCCTTGCCCAGGAAGTCTGCCTCGCCCTGCACTGCCGAGCGGCCGTTGGGGTTGCTGCCTCAGGCGATTTGGAACGCCTGGGGCTTGGGTGGGGAAGCGAGCCTTGGAAACAACATCAACCCAGATTCCTTCGCCTTGATACGCAAAATGGGTGCGCCGATGGTTTTCCCGTTGGCTTTCCTTTAAAAGACAAGCCTGGAAAGGCCCTTGAAAAAGATGCGTGTGGGATGGTTGAAGGGAAACAGAGATCAACTCGCTTCTTTTCTGTAGGGCTGCCGCATTTGGGAGGCTGTGCTCGGGATTTGGCCTTCACAGCCAGGGAATCTCCCGGGGCGAGTTCGGTTTTGGGCCCCCCGGCGCTCGGTTTCGGCGCACTCGGCCAACAGGTCCAAGATCCTCGCGGAACCAGACCCCCAAAAGCCAAAGGGATTTCTTTGAGTGCCCCGAAAACTAGCGCACAGTTTTCGGGGATGCTCAACTGCAACTGGCTTCCTCGTTCACCAAACCAATCCAAGCCACCAAAGGGTTGCAGCTGATTCCCTCTAAAAGCATTCGTTGAAAACATGGGCTGCTTTGGGGTGCATGTAAAATCCGCAGTTGAAAATACGAAATACCCCCCTTTTTGTGTATGTGTCCAACAACACATTGCCCTTGCATTCTTTGGCGTGCTAGGAATCCCCGGGCACAGAGGCGGCATCCCTGGTTGGTCTCCGGGAGAATCAAAAGGGGGGCCCCAGTCGGAACATCCGCGGCCAAGTGATGATGCGCTGAGTCCTTCGGCTTGGCCGAAGCCGAACTGAAATGGGAGAAGCCGGACTAAGCTTCCAGTGTTTCGACCCCTGGAAGAAATAACCAAAAAATAATATGTCCAGTAGTGATAGAATCCCTTTAAAACCAACGGAAGAAAATAAAACATAGTCTTGAGCAAATGGAAGAAAAGTGGATGTGTCCCTTGTTCCGACATATTTGGCCCTTTTTGGAGGATACGAAACTAAGGGAACAAATCCATGCTAACGGCCCCCTTATCTGAATACACACCCACATTCCATCAGTTTGAGTTTACCCAAAGCCATTGCGGCTTTCCTTTGCCATGCCCGTTTCCAAATGGGGACTCACCCCAAACCTTCCATCACCCAACCGCGGGTGGGCCCCTTCGTTTTTCCCTCCTCGACCTCCTTCTTACCTCGTGGTTTGGCCCAAACACAGGGCAGCAAATGAAGGGCGAAGCCCAGAAACGTCCAGATCTCGATAACCCTCTCGCGTCCTGTCCAGGGCTTTCAGCACCCTGGCCATTAAGCCAAAACCAAAGGGGTTGGGCTCCTTGTCTTTTTCCCTTCACCATCCAAAGAGGGTACCCTCGAAAAATGACAGGTGCACCGTTCAAGCGCTTGATCCAAGCAAAACTGGCTGTGGCGCCAAAACAAATCGTGTAACCCCGCATACAACCAAGCTACCCGAAATCGGACACCTATGGCACCACCGGGCAACTTGATACTTAAGGGCGACTCGAAAACCGCGCAGGCTTCGCGCGTCTTGCTCGTCCGACTGCACCACGACCAGTCTCAAGCGGGTTCCGGGGTAAAACTCGTCCTGGCGGGCATCGGCCAAGGAAAGCCTGGGTATGGGTCAAAATTCAACCACCAGGAACCGGAAGGTTTTCCTTGGCCACCCAGAGGCTCCGGGGGCTAATGGAAGACCCGACCCCTGCATTCGACACCCCGCTTCGGGTGGGACCCGGTCTCAAGACCAGGTTGTTTAAAGGCCCTAAATCAGTCGAATTGGAGGCTTTGGGAGGAAAGCCAAAGGCTTGTGCTTTAGGAACCCCAAATGGATCCCTGTTAAGTGGAAACATGGACTAAAACCTGCGGCTGGGTTTGTCTCCACGGGCGTGTCCCCTCCAGGGGGGTTGTCTTCCCTTTCGGCCGTCCTTTAAACAAAAACCCAAGAAACCGGGGGGTTGTGCCCCAAAAAAGGCGCGGCCGTTTAACCGCGTAGCCACGCGAGCAGTTTGAGAACTGGCATCGAAATTCATCGAATCAAAGTGAGCGAGCCAAGTTGGCTTGATTGATCCGGCGACCGAGAGAGCTTCAGCAACACATCAGAGCTCCTCCCTTACATGCCGGAAATGAACATTACCCCCCCCCCCTGCACGCCACATAAAGTGCAAACAAATGTGTTTTGGGGGTATGTATCGCGAATGGCCCCTGCAAAACCCTGCCTGACTCATCTGTACCCACATGTATTTTTCTCGGGTATGTTCTCACTTTTTGACGCAGCTCCTTTTGGCCTAAAACCATCCCATCTTCCCACAACCACGAAGAAAACCTCTGGGTTTGTCTCAACGTTCGGGGAAATCCAAAATCCAACCTGGCGGAGGAGGATTCGGGTCACCAAAATACGGGTTGCCGGCTTTTTTTTGGTTCACAACCACTGAAACATGCACTCCCACGCTCAGTTGGACCTGCCATTGGGGCTTCGGGCCCTGTTGCTCATCACGATCCGGCAGTGGCACTCATCCTCGAGACGGTGGGTTTGCTTCGGCCTTGCCCCGTGTCCCTTTGTTGGGCCTTGCCCGGGTTTTGGTCTGCTGCGTCTTCTTGCGCTTTTTGTTGGGCTTGCTTTTTCAGCCTGAAATCAACAGGAGATCATGTTCAGGCCAGCCTGATCTTCACAATGGATCCAAACTGTATCTGAGGATCCTTGCCTCTCTAGGCCGTCCATAGTGACTGGGGCCAAGGCTCCCAAAAAGGTGTCCTGCAAAAGTGAGCAGAAGTATCCCTAGAGTTGGCGAAAAAACACAATCCACAAGAAAGTTCAGTTCAGTGAGACACACCATGTGTGGTTCCCAAACAATGGATGGGACACCCAGCAAAAACCCAATCCAAGGCCTAAAAGAGGAGACGCCGGCTTGGGCCTTCCCATAAACAAGACCCTGACGCAACTAAAGGGGCACCTTCTGGCTTCCCTTAACTCCAGCAAAACAAAACAAAACATAAGCAACCAACCAGGCAACCGGCCAACCATGCAACCAAAACCAAACACACAAGGGTCCCCTAACCCCTTGTATTTCCCCTACCCCGGAGTCCCGAGTCCCCCCCCCCCGCCCTTTTTTTTTTGGGGGGGGGAACCAGCTTTCCCCCAGCGAGCCACCGCCCCGCGCCTGGATGCGGTCCTTGTTGCTGCCCTTGGCGCCCAAGACGCCGCTGGCCAAGGGCTCCGGGCACAGCACCTCCGTCGCGACAGCTCAGACACGTGGCCCGTGAGGCGCAAGAGGCAGCGGAGCCCAGGGGAAAAAGGGGCTCAACAACATGGGTCTTTCGTCAAATGGGTCGAGGTTCTCAGAAATTGAGGCTTATATACATGTTGTTGTTTTTTTTTCCCCGTTTGATTTACTGATTAGCAGGGGGGCTAAGTAAGCCAGCTTGAGCATCCGTTTGGCCAGCTCTGGTGCTAACCGTCGCCTCCGGCTTCAACGGGTGGCTCCTGGTTTTTGTTTGAGGCTCAAGGTACCCACTTGGCTTCAAAGGGAAACCAGGGAACCGGTTTCCCCAGTTTGAGACAAACCCTGGGACTGGAAAAGCAGTGATTGGAAGGCGCTGATGAGCACCAAGGAAAATATGCCCTGAAAAAAAATCCAGCCGCCGGGCACCAACCATCTTCAAATCCGGCACCAGGACCAGTGGAACTTCCTGTTTCGAAATCTGGCTTTCGGCTATCGGCGTTCGGTGTTCGGTGTTCGACTGAGGAATAGTGCTAAATAGAAGGTCGCCCGAAATGGAGCCCCTGCACGGCTATCCTTTTTGGTGTCCCTTTCAACCAGGGCGAAACGAGTGCCCTCAAAAAATCACTGGGGGGGGGGTCTCAGAATGGTAGACCCTCTTTGGATGGCAAAGGGAAGCTTGGTACAGACACAACAAGCCCTTTTTCTGGGTCCGCTATTTTGAGAACCCACGTGTCAAAGGCTCCCTGCCTTGAACGCGTGGCGCGGCCGCGCCATAGCAAGCTGATGACTTTTCCGGCACCCGCCCTTGTGGATAGTTGGGGTCTACCTGACATGCAAAGCATCCAAACAGGCCGGCTGCTTCCCATTTTCTGCCTGGTTTAGGACCGCCTTTTCCCTTCAGCTGATTCTGGTGCACATTGGCTTCGGGGTGTCTTGTAGAGGCTTGCACCTCACGCGCGCCATTGGGCAAATGCCAATAGCCTCGAGATTGTTTCCGCCAAGGATAGAATCCAAGGATGTCCAGCTTCAGGCTGCGCGGGTTTGCGGTCACAGCTTGGTTTGCTCGACAAGCTGCGGCAAGTCCCACGGGCTGAGATTCCCGCAAAGAGATTTGCCAATGATGCTGTGTCAAAGTAGGGGAGCCCAACAGGCTGCAAAGGATGCAAAAAAAGGGAAATCCAGAAGGAAAGATGCAAGGCTGCTGGGTGGTTGTTGCTGGACGTTTTATCACGGCCGTGTCTAAATCTCTACCACCGATGACCAGAACGCTATCACACACCCCATAAGGCATCTAGGTGTGTTCACCATGGCACATATGGCGACTGGACTGAGCTCTGCAATCAAAATCCGAAAGGAGTCCATTTGAAATCCACAAAGACCTCTAGAATGAAAGGAGGTTCTTGCTGCACCTATCTATGAAGTTGCCCCCCGGGTCCTTCGAGTGTTTTTCAAAAAGCCGCCTGCTTCGAGACCTCAGAAACCGTCACGAGGCTTCTCACCTTGATTTTGACTCGCGGCCGGCGTTCACCCGACTCACTCATCCGCGGTGAGGCTTTGCCACCGCGCCCCGCAGGCCCTGGCTTCCGAGGCTCGAGCTGAACCCAGCGGGGCCATGGGGTGGAAGGCGGAAGTTCTATGGCCGTGGGAAACGCAGAACCTCTGGCGATCCTAGCCTATGGCATCCCCATTTTTGGGGTGGATGAACATCCAGTTGCCACCTAAGCCAATTTTGGGGTGGATGAACATCCATTTGATGTCCACCGTTTTTTTGATGTTCACCAAGGGTATATACAGGGTTTTGACCACCACAGCCATACGTTGGTGTGTCCTTTGTTGAGGGCACCCTTTGGATGTGTTTCTCAAGGCAAAGCAAGAGGAAAACCACCATTTTGGGGGTCATGCAGGTCCCCTAAAAGACACCCATTTGGGTTCCAGCCAACCGACAAGAAATAAAGACTCAAAGGTTCAAAAGCTGAAACTTATGCGGAGAGACGACGCTAGTTGTTGATTGTTTGTCTTAGTTGTTGCTTGAGCGCCATCTTTTATGCGGGTGTGCACTTCAATTAAACATCAGATTTCGGGTGTTCATGTTTAACCAGTTGGGAGGGTGTTCCAACCGATAAATTTCACAGCCGTATTTGAGGGTTCCAGCCACTGAAGGTATACAATGAAAGTTTCAAAGCTTGATAGTTTGGTTTTGGACAAGTCAATTGAGGCAGGGTATATCAGGGGTACACTTAGAACAGGGGTTGACTAATTTCGACATGGCTGACGGCAAAGGCGCGCGGAAGGGAAAACAAACACATGCTTTGCGGCAAACATCCACCATGCACATCGTCTGACCTCGAATGTCCCAACACCTGATCTGACTCCAGTTGCTGCGTTCAACGCACACGGCAGCAGCACTCACCGGGTCTTTCATGCTCGCTGCAAAGAGCTCTGACGTGTTTTCCTAAAATCCGAAGGCTGCAGCCCAGGTTTGATATCTCAAAACCGGGGGGATTCGGACCAAAACGTGGATCAGCTTTAGGGCACATCGCTCAACCATCGGGCCTCTCTGGGCTCCGGGGCCAAAAGATCACACCCTTGAGACGCCAAGCCATTTGGCTGATTCGCAAAATAGCGGGCCCGCGCGATGGGTCCATGTCCATCAAAAAGGCGGCAACAACTTTGTCCAATGGTCATGAAGCTTTAACTACCAAAACAGTTGGTCGGTTGGTCACGGGCGCCCCATTTGAGGCTGCAGCCTCTCGCCTCTCGCCTCTCGCCTCTCGCCTCTCGCCGGCCGCGCCTTCTGCAGGAGCACCGCGTTCAAGTCCGTGCCCCCAAGCGACGCCAGCGCGTCCTTGAGACCTTGGATCTCCTCCTGGGATCGGGTTTCTTCCTACTTTCATGAGACACTCACCTCTCATGGGCCAACAAGTTGATGTGTAAAGCCACCAAAAAGGGCAATATAACGGGACCCCTGACTTCTTGAGCTCCTCTTTACCTTCGGGAAAGAGGAAAACTCGCCATTTGCGGTGCGGTCTCTCTTTTAAGAGAAACCAAAGGGAGAAGGCGAAAAAATATGTTTCAGGCCCGAATCCTTATTTTCTTTCACGTGGGCTTACTGCGGGTCTTCTCCCAGGACACACCCAGCTATCGTTGCACTTTAGTTGGAACCAACTCAAGCGTGGTTGCAAAAGTGGTTGGTGGAAATGAACCCAAACGGTGTCCACAAAAAGGACTTCTCAAAAGAAGCTCAATCCCCAAAAAGCCAAAAAAAGAAGAAACACTGCAGGCGTTTAGAGCAGGGGCCTGGCAGGGGTGGCTTGATTTTATGGCACATGGCACATGGAGTTGCGGGGTGACTCAAATTGGAGAAATCCAACTCCTGGCATTGGAAAGTCGAATCCAATGATGCAATCCAACTGAAATTGGAAAATTGGACAATCGGAATTTACTTTTGAACTCTTCACACTTTGATTTTGGGATACACCCAACTCATCGAAGCCCAGCGAAGATTTGCATCTTAGCGCAGCCGCAGTCCTTTAAATAAAAATAAAAATATCCCGCTGACTCCCGAACCCTCCCCCCTTTCAATTGGGTTGCTTAGGGCTGGCTGAGCACGGGTTTAGGGTGTGGGGTGGTGGTTTAGCTAGGGTGGGTTTGGGTTGGATTTAGGGTTGGCTTACGTGGGTTTAGGGTCGGGCTAAGGTTGGTTTAGGGTTAGCTCATGGTGGGCTTGGGGCGGGCTTCAGGTTGGCTTAGGGTTGGTTTCGGGTGGGACTAGGGTTTAGGTGAGATTTAGTGTTGGTTGAAGATTGGTGGTGGGTTTTGGGGTTTGGGTTGGTTATTGAATCTTGGGTCATGCCAAGGTCAACTCGCGCCCGCTGTTTGCCCTCACCCACCTCAGGCTGATGGCTGTTGGCTTCACCCAAGTATTGATTCGATGGCGGCTGTTTTAGGGTGGGTTTAAGGTTGGCTTAGGGCTGGTTCAAGGTTTGTTCAGGGCCAGTTTAGTGTGAAGTCATCGTTGGTTCAAGGTGTGAGGTGGGTTTGGGGGGTTGGGTTAGGATAGGATTCGGGTTGATTTACGGGTGGCTAGGGTTGGCTTCGGCTGGGTTTAGCGTTGAGTTTCGGGTTGGTAAAGGGTGGGTAAAGGGTGGGATTATGACCTTGGGGCGGGCCTCGGGTTGGTTTGGGTCGGGTTTCGGGTACGTAGGTTGGGATTGTTTGATAAGGTGCAAAAACAGAGGTCAGGGGTGAAATCAGAAGGCTCGCGGGTGCAAACACAAGGTCGGCAGTGAAAAACACAAAGCGGGCGGGTGGGGGGCAAGAAAACAAGGTGAGGGGTGGAAAGGGTTCCCAAGCAGGACTTGAGAGTACAAACCGAAATGAAGGGTTTAAAGACAAGCTTGGAGGGTGAAGAAAAAAGGGCACCCGCCAAAAACAACTGCTTACTTGGGCCTTGAATAGCTGGCCAGGGCATTGTGATGAACCTGGCTGGTCTACCCGCAGATTTCGTCGGAGGCTCCTCCCGTTTGGCCGCTCGCTCGGCATAGGACATGCCGCCATCGTAGCATTGCTTCGCCAGGCTCTCCTGACACAGCCGGCGGCCAAGGATGGCGGTGTGGTTTGTTTTTGGTTGAAAGGGGGGAAAAACCATCACCAATTTTTGTTTGGGGGTGTCCCCCGGCAGATTGGCGGGAAATTGGTGGACATCGCTTACCTGGAAAAGATGGATGTCCGGCAAACATTTCGGAGAGGGTGCTCGTTACAAACCGCACAGGCGTGTCCTTACATTCCAATAGACGTTTGGCTCTACCAACATGGTATACAGGTATTTGTAGGCCTCACTGCATACACATGAGGGCCAGGTAGTAGAACCACTTAACAGGAATTTTGGGTGCTGCTCGATTGGCAACCCCACCATTAACGGCAGCTCTCACTAAGCAAACATCCACACCGAACCCTGAAAGCTGACAAGCGGCGAGCAGTGTTCAACTTGTTTAAGTGCCCGTGTCAAATCCGACCAGCGTGGTTCCAGAAGCGTTCTTAGCGAACCACTTCAACAAAACGCCGTATGAGGCAAACCATGGGATTCAAACACCTTATGGGAATGTGTGCATACCCTTCCGGGGGTCTTTTTTGGGTTCCCTGTGGATTCCCGAGACGGGATGGGTATGGCTCATCTGGCTTTCCTGTTTGCTTTTAGACCCCCAAAGAGAAAACCGAGCCTCCAACAAAAACCTGCCCTCAAATCAGGGTGAGGGCCATCTGTCCGCGTGCGTGCACCCGGTCTGTTTTCTCCTGGTAGGTGAGGACCGCAGCCAGCTCCTCCTGAAAGTTCTAGAGCTTCCGGCAATCGGACGAGAGAAATTGTAAGCCTTGCCCTGGTTCGTTGAATACTCTCCTGCAAATTCGCCCATCTGCAAAAGTTGTGGGAAGCAACCTGCTTTCTGTGCTACCGGAAATGGGATTCCATGAAATTCCCATGCTCATCTTTGCCCGGCCTTGGCTCCGCCAGCCCGTCCCGACTTTGGCTCCAAGGTGTTTAACGACAGCTGAAGCCAGGTACAACCACCTACGCTCACAGGTCCTGGTTTGGACCGTTTTGCCCTAAAAGTGGGGTCCATGGCAACCGGAGGGTATCTGGGTGTGGCTCAATATTAAAACACCAGGAGTTGGACCGCAGATTTGAGTCCCGGTCTCCATGTTACCAGGGCAACGCCAAAAATGGGGTTGCCCTATTTTTGACAACCACCGCTATGTCTTATAATAATAATAATAATAAAACGACCCCAAAAAATAGGTTTCGGTCCGATCGCAGGTCTCAGAACCAGCGCCACACAAGCGGGCGGCCGGCTGGACTCCTTTGACGCCTCGGCATCCGCGCCCAGGTCCAGCACCTAAAACGCCGAAACGGCGAGGTGGGCTGAAGAAGAAAAAACAACGAGCGTGTTGGTTGTTGGTTGTTGGTTGTTGGTTGTTGGTTGTTGGTTGTTGGTCGTCGTCGTCGTCGTTGTTGGTTGTTGTTGGTTGTTGTTGTTGGCGGCGGCGGCGGTGGTGGTGTTGGTGGTGTCGTTTACCCTTTTTGAAGGGTTTCCTTTTTAAGGGAGCCCCAAGAAAAGAAAAAAGGCAACAACGAAATCAACATTTTGGGGGAGCGTCCCCTAGTTTGACATGTGACGTTCCAAACAAAATGCTGGGCTTCCCGGAACAAAACCAGATGGCTTCCCTCAAGAAAGGGGGGCAGCCCCGCATGTTTGCAGTTGGCATTCAACCGGTTCTCTTCTGAAAACAACGTTGCTGCTTGAGGATCTCCGCGGAGTGGGGAGATGCGAACACCAGCTTACAGCTTTCTGTGCCCACCTGAGTCGCAAATTTCGACCCAGGTGGGCACAGAAAGCTATCAAACCCAGGCAAATACTAAGGGAGTCTGCCCCAAAGAGCATGTGCATGAAAATTCTAATCAGGAACCCTTTGGCGCATCATGTTCATGAGGGCGCTGAGCGCCTTCCTATGGCAAGCGCGGTATGTCCAAGAATCGAGGAGCCCCTCGTTGCTCCCATTGAACCAAGAGGAAACTCACCTTCATCTACCCTCACCGGAGTCATAATCAAACATTTGGTATCAACATGGTCTACCGGGTCTAGTAAAGAATGGCCGCACCTAAAGAAATGGCTGGGACCAGCCCATACAAACCTTCGTCTGCGCCGGTGACTGAGACCGCAACTGCCTTGTCCAAAGAAGCGGCCGTCTTCCTTGGATCCAAGGACATGCAAAAAAAAACATCGGCCAGGCCCTTGGGCTTGATACGACGTCTTGGCTTTGATTTCGTCTGGGAGATGCGGAAAAAAACTAGAGGACGATTGGCCCGAAAGCATTTTTCCACAGGCGCTCATCCGGCCGTGGAGACACCTTTTTACATCGCTGCGGCGGGCGTGTCTGCGCGCGGCGATGCTCAGTGTGTATGGTCACATGAGAGCTCCATCTCATCATCCTACTTTCCTTTCGAACTGCGCCGGCTGCTGCGCGCAAGTTGCTCTCTGCAAGCTGCTGCGCGCAAGTGCTCTGTGCAAGTTGCTCTGCGCAAGTGCTCTGAACGAGTTGCTCTGCGCAAGTGCTCTGCGCCAGTTGCTCCGCGCAAGCGCTTTGCGCATGTGCTCTGCGCAAGTTGGTCTGTGCAAGTTGCTCTGCGCCTGCTCTGTGCAAGTTGCTCTGCGCAAGTGCTCTGAGCAAGTTGCTCTGCGCAAGGGCTCTGCGCCAGTTGCTCCGTGCAAGCGCTTTGCGCATGTGCTCTGTGCAAGTTGGTCTGTGCAAGTTGCTCTGCGCAAGTGCTTTGTGCAATTGCTCTGTGCAAGTTGCTCTGCGCAAGTTGCTCTGCGCAAGTGACTCTGCGCAAGTTGCTCTGCGCAAGTGCTGCCGGAGCTGCGGGGGTGTGCTCCGCGTACTACGTTTGTACTTAAAAGTTGCGATTTTCCAGCCGGAGCTGCGGGGGTGTGCTCCGCGTACTACGTTTGTACTTAAAAGTTGCGATTTTCCAGCCTGAGCTGCGGGAGCACGCTCCGCATACTACGTCTGTACTTAAAAATTTCCACCCGGAGCTGCAGGAGCACGCTCCGCGTACTACGTTTGTACTCAAAAGTTGCGATTTTCAAGCCGGAGCTGCGGGGGTGTGCTCCGCGTACTACGTTTGTACTAAAAGTTGCGATTTTCCAGCCTGAGCTGCGGGAGCACGCTCCGCGTACTACGTTTGTACTTAAAAGCTGCGATTTTCAAGCCGGAGCTGCCGCGGACCAGGGGGGAATCGAACCCGCGACCGCGGGATTGCGAAAGCAGGCGCGCAAGCCACGAGACAACTTCCAAAGGCTGTTTCGCGAGCAAGAAAATTGCACGGCGCCACAGCGAGAGAGGGTTCGCCGAGACTAAGACAAATTCGCACGGCGCCACAGCGAGAGCGCTTCGACGCGCACCATCCCCGCAGAGGGTCGCGCGCGGCCAGCAGAAATCGTAAAATCTCCGCAGAGGGTCGCGCGCGCACCGCAGAAATCGTAAAAAGTCCTCAGTTTTTGAACCTCGACCACGCGAATCTCCGCAGAGGGTCGCGCGCGCACCGCAAAAATCGTAAAAAGTCCTCAGTTTTTGAACCTCGACCACGCGAATCTCCGCAGAGGGTCGCAATCCCGAGCGACGATCAAACTCCCGCCCCGGCGCCTTAGAAACCTAAACTAACTTACATAGCTGCTAACGCCGAAGCTCTAAGCTCTACCTAACCTTGGCTCTATGTAACTTGGCTCTATGTAACTTGGCTCTATGTAACTTGGCTCTATGTAACTTGGCTCTATGTAACTTGGCTCTATGTAACTTGGCTCTATGTAACTTGGCTCTATGTAACTTGGCTCTATGTAACTTGGCTCTATGTAACTTGGCTCTATGTAACTTGGCTCTATGTAACTTGGCTCTATGTAACTTGGCTCTATGTAGCGTGTCCAAGGGCTCCGCACGGAAGAACCCTTCGCGATGCTTTCGGGGAAAAAAAACATCTGCAAAAATGGGATATGGGATATGGGATATGTATGATATGGATATGGGATATGGAGAAAAAATACATCCACAGAATACCCAACAAGCAGAATCATGCTTTGCGGAGACAAACATCCGCTCACCAGCCGGTAGGTGGTCCAATGATCATTGGCTTTCATCCCTCGAACGCAATCCACAGCATGTTTGAATTGGGGTTCCGCTTGGTTTCCCCTTGGCTTCCTTGTCTTGGTGTTCCTCTTAACTTCCTATCGGCTTTCCAGTCCCCCCCCCCCAAAAGAATAAATAAATAAATACAAACTAAACGCCAAAACTGGCCCCATGACGAAGCGAAACAAAACCCGAACAACACCTGAGGAAACGAGTAACAGTTGTCTGAACCCGAACCCAAACAGTCCGGGACATGGGCGCAACAAATGTTGGGCTCCATGTTCTGCGGAGAAGCCTGCCTGCCATGTGCATCTTCCGGAGCGGTTCGAACGACGCGGACTCGAAGCGACTTGCCCGAGCCACGCTTTGAACTTCTGGTCCGCATCCTTCTGCACCTGGGATGCGTTCTATGGAACCAAGGGGGGGTAGGTAGGGGGTGGGTAGTGGAGAGCTCGTTCTGAATTTTGTAGGGTTCTTCTTAGGGAAGCCCCCCGCGCCTGGACCCCCGAATTAGGCCCCCTTGCCGCACATCAGAGCTTAAGCTGGGATCGTCCATCCACGTTTTCCGGAGGCTCCAACAAATTCTTTCTCGCCAAATTGTTGGCCCCCGCGCGGCTCGCGAATTCCGCCATGGCCTCCCTTTCAACGGGCCCCGAAACGCCGTTGGGTACCTCCGCTCCTTCATTCAGAGAAAAGAATGGACCAGGAGGAAAAAAACCAGGAGGAAAAACCACACTGGGAAAAAAACCAAAGCTGGTACACTAGGAGAAAACAAAAAGAACGCATGGACCAGGGAAACCCGGACTTCGTTCGGGAAAAACGCCCTGAAACCCCTCTCGCCGGCTTCGAACCCAAAAAAAAAGCAAAGGAGATCTTATTGCTGGGTTTTGGTCCAGGGATCGGACCAGGAACCCACTCTTCGGGCTCAACACCTGGTCCGAGCCCTTCCTTTGTGGAATTCACGACGCTGCTGGTCCCACGTGTGAGTTCAACTCCCAGCCAGCTGACCAAACCCAGACCTCCACAAAATCAACCTCCTCTGGCTTCGTATGCCACGAAAATCCTGAAAAAATCGCCCGAATTACCTCCGAAGATCGCACCTGTGACCTTCAGCATCCCCCCCCCAAAAAAACAACACACCGCGGAAGAGTTCGGCTGTGCCCGGGCCTTGGTCAAATCATTCTGCTTCGTCATGGATTCGTACTCCTCCGCCTGCATTCTGTCAAAAAGTTGGTACCCTCCCACCAACTAACATGGAACCTGACAGGGGGTCCCTTTAAAAAGAACATGGTCTTCCAGGACCCTCCGGTCAGGTTCATGTTAGCTGGTGGGAGGGTAACTTCTTGCCAGTTGAAGGGAAAACCAAGAAAGGTCCAGAGGCAAAGAAGGCCTTGGTGTGCAAAAAAACAATGACTAAGACTGACAACGTCCCAATACCAAGACTGGCAATGCTTCCGTATTTGACTCTGTCCTGCGGTTGCTGCAAGCTGAAGCGACAAGGACACCAACCATCTCAGAAACTCCTGTCCGACGCAATGAAACCTCCGGCAATTCTCTGCCGGAAGTTCGCCCGTTTTCCCCACCAACCAATCCATCGGAACTCTCGCGTGCGGATTCTCCCGCCGATTCTTCCGAAAGAGGATCCTGGATCCCCAGTTGCGAATGTGTCTTGTCCCCCCGATTGTGACTGTTTCGAGGGCAAAGTGTCTAAGTGCCTGGGGAAAAAGAAGAAAAAAAACCACCGAAGGCCCCCCAAAAAAACAAATACCCCGAGGGGGATGAATTTCCAACCTGGTTGGTGGGCCAAAATCAAAATGCCCAACCTAAATGATGTCAGGGTCCCGAATCGAAATCGGAAACCCTTTCTGGCCAGCCAGGCCCTGTCTTTGCACACTCCTCAGCCAACTATGCACCAAGAAACCACCAGGCGCTGATGAAACCCCACAAATGCGCCGGGGAGCCTTTTGGTTTCCCTGTGCAGACACCGTTCAAGAGAGGACAGCAGTGCTCCAGTTGTTGCTGACCCAACAAGTTGAACCACACCCCCAATTTCCGAAGCAACCCGCATCAACCCCTCCCCCACCTCCCAAGCAATGGGCTCGGCTTGGAACCAACCCGCGGCTCCGGGGCAACGAAAGGAAAGCCGCCAGATTTTTGGGATCCAAAAACGACACCCAAGTCGGTCACCTTACCCCTCGACAAAAAAAAAAAAAAGCATCCTGCGCATTTCAACAGCCGCCAATCCAAACCAGAGGGCCAAAGTTGCGCGAGAGTGGAGGCCAAAACTCCAATCTGACTTTGGTCATCCTGCTTGCTTATCCAAAAGAAATTGAATCATCTACTTTCACCCGTGTTCCTAGTAAAGAACCCCGCAAAACTCGTGTCCTGCTTTTGTTCAACCATCCAAAAAGGGGGGTTTGCCATTTTGAGAAACACTCAGATGCGTGCATCTTAACATAAGGTACCGCAGTTGTCTTCCCTCGGCTTCCCATGAAAACCCCGTCCCCTGGTGTTTCAATATTGATATGAGTGTGCCTTTTTTAGGGCCACCCCCCAACACGATTCCTGGTTTCCTGTTGGTTCCCCTTTTTCACACACACACACACACCCCGACCCACAAAAAAAGAAGGAAAAAACATGATTCCTGGTTTTCCTGCTCACCCCCACCCCGCCCCACAAAAAGAAGGAAAGAGATCTGGACCGCACTTCGGGAAAACATAGGCAACACCATACGGGTTAGCTGGGAAAGCAAGAAGGGGGACCGCCTCAGAAAAAAAAAGGAAGAAAAAAAACATGTCCACCACCGAAGCCCTCCAAAGCAACCCCGCGCCTTGGTCGCCTCCACAGTCTCCGCCTGCGCCAAGCTGCGCCCGAAGTCCGACTCCACGACCTCCCGAGATCGGATCGATGGCTCCAAGTTGACTCATGGGCCGCTGGAAATGGAATCCTCACGGGGGCTGGAGGGAGGGGAGGGGAGGAGGGAGCCCCAAAAAGGCACTGAATGAGGCCTTACTAAGGGCTTAACAAGGGCTTATTTGGGCTCCCTCCCCCTCCCCGCCCTTTTTTCGGCCCCATGAAATCCACGAATCTGTGACCCATCATTTGACATTGGAGTAACCCGCCTGGACAATCCAGACATCCAATTTTTTGGGGGAACGAAGGCAAAAAAGACCTCCATAGCATCATGGGACCCTCCAGGATCCCATTTTTGAGGGTCTGGAGCCTCAGAATCCTTTTTGAGGGTCCCCTGATTTTTAGGGTGCAAAGAAACGAAGCTTGTGTGCGTGTATTTTGCTGGTTTTTTTTGAAAAAAAAAGTTGGTTTCGAGGTGAACCAGAAGTGAAACCGTTTCTTACCAGCTGACACTGGCGTCAGCCAATTTGTTCGGTGCCTGCACTCCCGCCTCAGATGTTGTTCGGATGCTTGTTGGGTCCAAGAGCGGTGTGGGATCACTCGCGGCTTATCCAACTCTGTGATACAAGTTGGGAATCTCGCACCTGAAAGAGGGGTTCGTCTTAGGCCCCTTGCATCCTTGTATTCAAAGTTGACATATATGACGCCATGACATCGGGCACACGGTACACTCGCCCAATTCACCACCGGAAAGCCCAAGGCTGAAAACGTCGAGGGCTCGTTTTGGATCCCGAATCCACCTGACGATTCCGTTGAGAGTGCGAAAAGAGTGCACTCGAAGGGTGCGACAATTGGTGCGATCCACACTTGGAGTCGGGGATTCAAACCTTATGGTTTCTCGTGGTTTCTCAACAAACAATGGTGTCAACCATGGTTTCTTAGGTGGTGCGAAGTGGATTTTGTCCACATAGGAATCCAACATCTCTGGAGATCCCCCCCGCTGCGCTCACTCCAATTGCCTCCAGCATGCCCAGGACGCCCGAGGAGGTAGACCTATAGCGACTCGGAAGATTAAAAAAAAAAAAAAAAAAAAAAAACGTGGAGGAGTAAATCGGACTTTCGCCAGAGAATCAAATTTGGTCAACTGGCCATGGGTCAAAATCCAAATCGTGGTCCCAGTGAACATCCGATTCAATCCAACCACTAAAGTAGGTTCTACAATAGGTGGTGAATCCCAAAACGGTTTTGACCAACAGCCATTCAGTCAACTCAAAGATCAATCCTACAAATCAAGTCATCAAACCCATGCGCCAATACTTTCTTACCAATCGTGGAAGAGGACACGGCAGTTTTGGAAGATGCTCTTAAAAAAAGGCCCTTTGTCCACTTCCAGGCTGGAAAAGTGAAAAAATGATTTAAAAAACCAAAAAAACAAAACATGTGGAGGGTCTCTGTCACAGGTGAGCAACCTAAGCCGAAAGGCGGGAAGTCGGGGAGGAAACTCTTCTACTGGGAGGGTTTAATATAAGAGCTTGGACAGGGTTTCCTACAGCCCCCTAAAGACCCCAATTTCAGCGAACGCACTTCTCCATGGACCGTCGATGAAAACAAAGGCAGGGTGAGGGGAGGTTGGACTATTGGAATAGGTTGGGGGAAGGGGTTCTGTCAGATAATGTGCAAACGATCAACGGCCATGTTTTCACATGGTCCCCTTGGGGGAACCTCTGCGTCTTTTTCCACCCAGACCTCTTGTTTGACCTGCAGGCTACACGTTGGAAATGGTTGGCAACTAAAAAACGAGCAACAAATCGAACAAACCCACCGCATGTTCCCAAACGCCTGGTGGTCAGAAAGCAGAACAAGTCGGTTTCAGAACAACTCGAGGACTTTGAGAAGCTCCGAGTTGCCAAACAAAAAACTGGTTGATCCGTGAATTTCTCGGCGGCCTCAAATAAATGCCCCCCCGCTTTTGCGGGTCCAACAAAAAATTGAAAATCGCGCGCCGGCCAAACTAAAGGGTCGCTCCATCCAAGCGGATTCTGAACATCTCAGATCATCAGTCAGCAATTCGCCGACTTCGCTTTCCCATCGACTTCCGAAATGACGTAGGGCGCTCTAAGGCGGCAAGCTTTCCGCGCTGGGAACAGCCCCCGTAATTTGTCTCAAAGAAGGCTACTCGGTCCTCCAGTAGAGAGGTTCGAATAAGGGTGCCCTTTTTTTTCTGTAGTCAATTATAGTAGAGGAACCAGTCAATTTTAGTACAGGAACCCTCCCCCAAAAAAAGGGTAAAAGAGCACTACTGGGGGACCTTGGTTGCCTGCTTCTTGTTGGTGTCCCTGCAAAACCCAAGAGTATCCAGAAAAGGTGCCACACCCAACTAGGTCTCTCCAAAATCGAAGCGCACATCCGGGGTGCCGGCTTCTCGTATGCAAAGACGGGCTGCTGGATGAGCGCCCTGAGCAAGTGCCAGCAAAACAATTCGCTGAACCCTTGCCAAAAGCCAATTTCGTAGTGGGATGTGGCCATGGGTCAAAATCCCGTACCCCCAGTGAACATCCCAATCCCCACTATAGACTAAAATGGGCGGTGCACATACCCCAAAATGGTACCATTGGTTTTGACCCACAGCCATACTATTGTGTCTTAACTTAGGGGCAAGCTTTGACCAACTCTGACGCAGTTTAGGGCCCACCCCTTCAGACTGGAAAGCCCCCCAAAAATTTACAACTGGAAAGCCCAACATGGGGCGAAAAGGGCACCCTGAGACACGTGCACGCACGGGCGCCCATGCACTTTTGTGACTTTATTGAACCCATCTCTGCCAGCCCGAGTTGACGCATCAGAATTACAGCACCCTCAAGCTTGAGAACGTTTCCCACGAATTTACATGGATCCTGACCTTCGGGGGCTTCTGGTTTGGACCATTTTCCTTTTAAGAGGACCAAAAGGAAGATGCTCAAAACCAGAGCCCCCAGCTTCCATGTGCAAAGGGTGAGGGTGGAACCACAACCAAAAGGAAGATGCTCAAAACCAGAGCCCCCAGCTTCCATGTGGAAAGGGTGAGGGTGGAACCACAACCAAAAGGAAGATGCTCAAAACCAGAACCCCCAGCTATGTGAAACGGGTGAGGGTTTTCACCACATCCGCGTGAAGGGAAGCCCGCTGGGCCGCCCCGCGCGCCGGAGCTCTCCTCAAGCGAACAGCGAGCCGTGGCCGCGTGCCGGTGGTCGAAACGAAAAGCCCCAGCCAGGGGTTCCGAAACATAATTCCCCCACCCCAATCTGAAACTCACAGCCTGTCCAAACGGCGGGTTTTTTGAACCCCCGAGAAAAGGGAGACGTAGCTGGAACTCTGGAAATGATTTGGCTTTTGCAAAAAACAACAGGCGACAGAGATGGGGTCTTGGTTAATCCTAGGTTTGGGTGTAGACCGATAGGAGAAGCCCGTATCACAGGCGGCTTGCCATCATAAGGGGTCAAACGGCAAACAAAAACTGCGTGACACTTTGCGACTCTCCGGAGAAGGCCTCTGGTCACCTTCCACCCTGTTTGGTGCTTCGGTTTGGCTTGGACAGTGGAACCTTCGCCATTTGGCGTCCAAAACAGCTGGGGTTCAAATCCAAATCCAAACCGCCAATCCAAACCGCCAGCTAAGGGGAAGCTGATGGCTGGGTTTCAGGATGAGACAAAAAAAGCATCCGCGCCCGACTGGTGCATTCTGCACGCCGGGGTTGGGGGCTCGCTGGACGAACACTGGGCGGCCCCGCATAGTAGTCCCGCAGCACGCTGAGCGCCGAGCGCACGCCTGGCGGGAAAAATCGGGAGACATGTGAGAAAGGAATGATATCAAGATATGGGCGTGAATCTTACTGGGACCCTTTGGTGGACATCATTTAGGTGGGGATTCAAGTCCACCAACCACTTTTGCTGTGGTTCCCTACAAAACAAAACAATACAAACAATACAAACAAAAACAAAAGTCAACTGCAATGAAGACAAAGGCAATGATAGCATTGTAACCCAAAGCCTTTGATCTTGCAGGTTACCCTTGTATGGGATGGAACACCCTCAACACCCAAGCGCGGCGAACCACGCAGAATCTACAAGAAACCTTCGTGCCCGTGGTAAGAACCGTTCTTCAAAGTTCTGACTTGTCGGTGTGTTGCTGAACGTATGTTTTTTTCTGTAGGAGATCACTTTACTCTGGAAGCTTAGAGGTGCTGGTAATCAAAAGCCTCAAAAATCGCTGTGGACATCCAGAATTCCTGGCTTTGCTTTACCCCACGTGGGCGATTTGCGATTTGGCTCGCTCCAAAGCCAGTGGGGCCGAAACCCGAAAAACCCCAATCGATTCCTGAAGGCCCTTAGGGGTGAAATGCGGTTTTCTTGGGAGGGCGATTGTGAAGGCCTAACAAAAAGACTGGGGTTCTGGCACCATGGGGTGCGTCAAGCCTTTATGATGCTGGGTCCACACTACAAACAACGCTTTGTCATGATTCTGGGGCTACACTAGCATAGAATTCTTTGGATTGTATTGTGTCCTATATGTCTTGGCCCACGCAGGGACACACAGAAATGATATGCTGACAGAACATACTCTTGGAGGAGACCTTGCCTTGTGAAGGGGGCATCACGTGCTCTTCGCGAACTGTTGTTACACAAACACACAGATCACCTTGGAGGAAAACAGTTCAAATTGTAGGGGTCGTGGGGGACGAGGAAGGGCAAAAAGGCAATTCACCCTTCGATTCGCGATAGGGGATGAGAGCAAATGGTAAATTACGGGGAGTAGGAAAATGCAATGAACATTGCAAATCAGATGAGGAAAATGTGCAGGGGATGAAATATATATATATATATATATATATTTATGTATTTATTTAAAAAAAAGAAGAGGAACAAAGAAAAGAAAACGACCCTGGGCGTCATCCGGATTCCACTTGGTTTGCCGCATTCTTGTTTTGGACATCCTGAATTTCCGGTTCGGAAACTCTGGTCATGTCATTGTCTTTGCTCATGGAATGCAGCGCTGGACATGAGCTGACCTCGGGTGGCCGTGGGCTTCAATGCTTTCAGGCAGGCAGAAGGCTCCAAGTGTCTAAATCATCAGAACAGGGTTACGTCGTAACTTTAAACCCACCCTGAACCATGATTGTGGCGCTCAACTATTGGCAAGCATTCAGCCCCTTGTAATTGTAATGTAAATATCACCCCTGGAATCATCGCTATAGATGTAGCTTTGAAGCTACCCTAGGCCTACCAACTTTTTTCTGTAGTCTATTTTAGTAGAAGAACCCTCCCAACCCAAAAAGGGGCTGAGAAAGGTTGCACCGAGCTGGACCTAGTACCCCATCCCATTCCACCTATCCACCCCAGCCCAAAGTGGCATCGAGCCCTCGAGCCCTCGAGGATCCGGGGGGCCGCGCCCTCCAGCCCCGCTTGGAGGTCCGTCTGCTGCTTCTCGAAGGCGGCTTCTAGGCGCAGCTTGCAATGCGCGCGGAAAGGGGGGGGGGTGCGAGGCGGCTTCCAGGTGAGGAGTCCAGAGCTTGGCCATGGCTGTGGTTGCGGAGGGCACCGAGATGTAGTTGTCTTTTTGCTCCTTTTGTTTTTTCTTTGGGGGGGGAGGGGAGGGGTGTAGGGGACAAGAAACAGCTGGTGAGCTTTTTGGGCCAAGAAAACTGCCGCGAGCCATGCTTTTGGTCTGAGCTGTGCGCTCTCCTCCGTGCGAGTCGCATCCATCTCGATCTGGCGGAGGAACGCTTGGCCAGATCAAGGCCCTCTTGGAAAGAACTCCAACCCCAAGAGGTTCACGTCCCCTCCTCCTGGATTTCTCACGAGTAATGAGCAAGGCCATAGTGGCATCATGGGATGCATGTTATTTTCGGATCAATCTGGAGAAGCAAACGGATCAGAGAGTGACCCCAATTGTTGAGTGATGATTGTGTCATCCTAAGGAGATTTGTTGGATTCTCAAATTCGTATGCTCCCCGGATGCATCCCGAGTTTCTCATTGCTCGTGACGTCGCACAAACCGCTAGTCATCATCCCCCGCGGGCATGTGCCTGCCGCCCTCTGGGAGTGGTCGCCCTTTTTCGGACAACGCTTCAGGGCGAAAACGAAAGAAGACCAACTTTTTGTAACGAAAGAAGACCGGAAATTTTTTTAGGGTCCCCCCCCCCCCCCCCCGCCATTGTCCAGGTTCTCCCAAGAAACATGGATTGTGCTTTTAGGGGATTCTGCCTAAGGGCCGAGAAACCATCCATGTGTAGGGGGGGTTGACGACTGGTTGGTTTTGATTGGGATGCCCCATTTCAGAGGGGATCCAAGCCAACACAAAACATTGAAAACGAAAATAAGCCACACACGCCGCCAAAAAGACATGGATTCTATTCTCTTCACGGGTTCCCCTTCTCCGCACGAAAGGCTTCCCCTTCTTTCACTCTGGGCCCCACAAATTTCAGGATGTACCAATCTGCAGGATGTACCCACACAAAACCTGAACCATTCGACTTTCCTTTCGTTAAGCCCCTATGAGAACATAGCTCCAGTGGTGAAAATCGGGTCATGTTCTCCTTGTTTGAAGAAACCACCGAAAATCCCCTTCCGCGCATGGGAGGTGGCTGTTCCGTCATTTTCTCTCATTTTAATACACCACGGAAGGTTGCTGTTATTGCTGTTTCTGTGCACCATGCGGAAACATGGTCCAAGGGCGGCCTGTTGTCGAACAAAGATGCGGAAAAATTTGGTCCAAGCCAAATTACCGTGGCATCTGGGTATGGCTCAAAATTAAAGAGCTAGGGTTACGCAGGTTTTCCATGTTTCCACTTGCCAGGGCAACCCAGTTTGGAATTCCGGCTGTTTGAGCCACAGCCATTTTCTGGAAGAGCAACCCCTTCTCTGCCATAGGCGTCCTTTTAGGGGAAATAGATGGCCCTGGTAGATGATTGAACCACCAGGTACTTCGAAACCCATCTATTTTCGACCAAAAAGGACTCTCCGCCGAAACCGCCCACTGGAGGACTGGACGCCGCCATCCGCCTGCAGCTGCTTCAGCTCCGCCAGCTCCCGCTGCAGCGCCGCCGCCTCGCCTCGGGGCTCCCGGGGCTCGGGAGGACTGGGCTGGCGCCCTGGGCGGGCGCGCCCCGGGCGTGGCCGGTGTCTATGAGTGGCTGCAAAGGCTCCATATGTTTGTAGAGTCCTTACTGGAACTGTTGAGAACTTCTGGACTATAAGCTACATGAAACAAGGTGAGTCACAATCCAAACCGATCGGTGCAAAAATGGTGAACCCAGAACCATGCTTCAAGAATTAGAAAGGCGGATGTCCGGGGACGGCTCGGAGCCGCCGCCGCCAAAGGGCAAAAATCCGCGAACCCGGGATTTGGACAAAGAACTAAGCTTTTTGCAGGTCTACAAATGTTTTTTTTGCAAAAACAAATCCGGGAACCTAGGATTTGCAGAAATGACTGAGCTTTTTGCAGGTCTACAAATGGGTTCTTTGCGGAAGAAAAAATCCGCGAACCCAGGATTTGGACAAAGAACTAAGCTTTTTGCAGGTCTACAAATGTTGTTTTTGCAAAAAAAAAAACGGGAACCTAGGATTTGCAGAAATGACTGAGCTTTTTGCAGGTCTACAAATGGGTTCTTTGCGGAAGAAAAAAAACGCGAACCCAGGATTTGGACAAAGAACTGAGCTTTTTGCAGGCCTACAAATGTTTTTTTTGGAAAAACAATCCGGGAACCTAGGATTTGCAGAAATGACTGAGCTTTTTGCAGGTCTACAAATGGGTTCTTTGCGGAAGAAAAAAATCAGGGAACCCAGGATTTGCAGCAAGAACTGAGCTTTTTGCAGGTCTACAAATGATTTTTTTGCGGAAGAAAAAATCCGGGAACCCAGGATTTGGAGAAATGACTGAGCTTTTTGCAGGTCTACAAATTGTTTTTTTGCGAAAGAAAAAGTCCGGGAACCCAGGATTTGGAGAAAGAACTGAGCTTTTTGCAGGTCTACAAAACGGTTCTTTGCGGAAGAAAAAATCCGGGAACTTAGGATTTGGAGAAAGAACTGAGCTTTTTCTACAAATAGGTTCTTTGCGGAAGAAAAAATCCGGGAACCCAAGAATTGGACAAAGAACTCAGCTTTTTGCAGGTCTACAAATGAGCTCTTTGCGGAAGAACAAATCCGGGAACCTAGGACTTGGAGAAAGAACTGAGCTTTTTGCAGGCCTACAAATGGGTTCTTTGCGGAAGAAAAAATCCGGGAACCCAGGATTTGCAGAAAGAACTAAGCTTTTTGCAGGTCTACAAATGGGTTCTTTGCGGAAGAAAAAATCCGGGAACCCAGGATTTGGAGAAAGAACTGAGCTTTTTGCAGGTCTACAAATGGGTTCTTTGCGAAAGAAAAGAATCGGGAACCCAGGATTTGGACAAAGAACTGAGCATTTTGCAGGTCTACAAATGGGTTCTTTGCGGAAGCAACAATCCGGGAACCTAGGATTTGCAGAAATGACTGAGCTTTTGGCGGGTCTACAAATGGGTTCTTTGCGGAAGAAGAAAAGAAGAAAATCCGGGAACCCAGGATTTGGAGAAAGAACTGAGCTTTTTGCAGGTCTACAAATGGGTTCTTTGCGGAAGAAAAAATCCGGGAACCCAGGATTTGCAGAAAGAACTGAGCTTTTTGCAGGTCTACAAATGGGTTCTTTGCGGAAGCAAAAATCCGGGAACCTAGGATTTGCAGAAAGAACTGAGCTTTTTGCAAGCCTACAAATGGGTTCTTTGCGGAAGAAAAAATCCGGGAACCCAGGATTTGGAGAAAGAACTGAGCTTTTTGCAGAACTGAGCTTTTTGCAGGTCTACAAATGGGTTCTTTGCGGAAGAAAAAATCCGGGAACCCAGGATTTGGAGAAAGAACTGAGCTTTTTGCAGGTCTACAAATGGGTTTCTTGCGAAAGAAAAAAATCCGGGAACCCAGGATTTGGAGAAATGACTGAGCTTTTTGCAGGTCTACAAATTGATTTTTTGCGAAAGAAAACATCCGGGAACCCAGGAATTGGAGAAAGAACTGAGCTTTTTGCAGGTCTACAAAACGGTTTCTTGCGAAAGAAAAAATCCGGGAACCCAGGATTTGCAGAAATGACTGAGCTTTTTGCAGGTCTACAAATGGGTTCTTTGCGGAAGAAAAAATCCGGGAACCCAGGATTTGCAGAAATGACTGAGCTTTTTGCAGGTCTACAAATGGGTTCTTTGCGGAAGAAAAAATCCGGGAACCCAGGATTTGCAGAAAGAACTGAGCTTTTTGCAGAACTGAGCTTTTTGCAGGTCTACAAATGGGTTCTTTGCGGAAGAAAAAATCCGGGAACCCAGGATTTGGAGAAAGAACTGAGCTTTTTGCAGGTCTACAAATGGGTTTCTTGCGAAAGAAAAAAATCCGGGAACCCAGGATTTGGAGAAAGCACGGAGCTTTTTGCAGGTCTACAAATGGGTTCTTTGCGGAAGAAAAAAATCAGGGAACCCAGGATTTGGAGAAATGACTGAGCTTTTGGCAGGTCTACAAATGGGTTCTTTGCGGAAGAAAAAATCCGGGAACCCAGGATTTGCAGAAAGAACTGAGCTTTTTGCAGGTCTACAAAAAAAAATCCGAGGAACCCAGGATTTTTTGGAAAGAACTGAGCTTTTTGCAGGTCTAAAAATGGGTTCTTTGCGGAAGAAAAAATCCGGGAACCCAGGATTTGGAGAAAGCACTGAGCTTTTTGCAGGTCTACAAATGGGTTCTTTGCGGAAGAAAAAAATCCGGGAACCCAAGATTTGCAGAAAGAACTAAGCTTTTTGCAGGTCTAAAAATGGGTTCTTTGCGGAAGAAAAAATCCGGGAACCCAGGATTTGGAGAAAGAACTGAGCTTTTTGCAGGTCTACAAATGGGTTCTTTGCGGAAGAAAAAATCCGGGAACCCAGGATTTGCAGAAAGAACTGAGCTTTGTGCAGGTCTACAAATGGTTTCTTGCGAAAGAAAAATATCCGGGAACCCAGGATTTGGAGAAAGAACGGAGCTTTTTGCAGGTCTACAAATGGGTTCTTTGCGGAAGAAAAAATCCGGGAACCCAGGATTTGCAGAAAGAACTGAGCTTTGTGCAGGTCTACAAATGGTTTCTTGCGAAAGAAAAATATCCGGGAACCCAGGATTTGGAGAAAGAACGGAGCTTTTTGCAGGTCTACAAATGGGTTCTTTGCGGAAGAAAAAATCCGGGAACCCAGGATTTGCAGAAAGAACTGAGCTTTGTGCAGGTCTACAAATGGTTTCTTGCGAAAGAAAAATATCCGGGAACCCAGGATTTGGAGAAAGAACGGAGCTTTTTGCAGGTCTACAAATGGGTTCTTTGCGGAAGAAAAAATCCGGGAACCCAGGATTTGCAGAAAGAACTGAGCTTTGTGCAGGTCTACAAATGGGTTCTTTGCGGAACAAAAAATCCGGGAACCCAGGATTTGCAGAAAGAACTGAGCTTTGTGCAGGTCTACAAATGGGTTCTTTGCGGAAGAAAAAATCCGGGAACCCAGGATTTGGAGAAAGAACTGAGCTTTTTGCAGGTCTACAAATTGTTTTTTTGCGAAAGAAAAAGTCCGGGAACCCTGGATTTGGAGAAAGAACTGAGCTTTTTGCAGGTCTACAAATGGTTTCTTGCGAAAGAAAAAAATCCGGGAACCCAGGAATTGGACAAAGAACTGAGCTTCTTGCAGGTCTACAAATGGGTTCTTTGCGGAAGAAACAATCCGGGAACCCAGGATTTGCAGAAAGAACTGAGCTTTTTGCAGGTCTACAAATGGGTTCTTTGCGGAAGAAACAATCCGGAAACCCAGGATTACCCAGGATTTGGAGAAAGAACTGAGCTTTTTGCAGGTCTACAAATGGGTTCTTTGCGGAAGAAAAAATCCGGGAACCCCGGATTTGGAGAAAGCACTGAGCTTTTTGCAGGTCTACAAATAGGTTCTTTGCGGAAGAAAACAATCCGGGAACCCAAGATTTGCAGAAAGAACTAAGCTTTTTGCAGGTCTAAAAATGGGTTCTTTGCGGAAGAAAAAATCCGGGAACCCAGGATTTGCAGAAAGAACTGAGCTTTTTGCAGGTCTACAAAACGGTTCTTTGCGGAAGAAAACATCCGGGAACCCAGGATTTGGAGAAAGAACTGAGCTTTTTGCAGGTCTACAAATGGGTTCTTTGCGGAAGAAAAAAATCAGGGAACCCAGGATTTGCAGCAAGAACTGAGCTTTTTGCAAGTCTACAAATGGGTTCTTTGCGGAAGAAAAAATCCGGGAACCCAGGATTTGCAGAAAGAACTGAGCTTTTTGCAGGTCTACAAATGGGTTCTTTGCGGAAGAAAAAATCCGGGAACCCAGGATTTGCAGAAAGAACTGAGCTTTTTGCAGGTCTACAAATGGGTCCTTTGCGGAAGAAAAAATCCGGGAACCCAGGATTTGCAGAAAGAACTGAGCTTTTCGCAGGTCTACAAATGGGTTCTTTGCGGAAGAAAACATCCGGGAACCCGGGAGTTGGACAAAGAACTGAGCTTTTTGCAGGTCTACAAATGGGTTCTTTGCGGAAGAAAAAATCCGGGAACCCAGGATTTGCAGAAAGAACTGAGCTTTTTGCAGGTCTACAAATGGGTTATTTGCGGAAGAAACAATCCGGGAACCCAGGATTTGCAGAAAGAACTGAGGTTTTTGCAGGTCTACAAATGGGTTCTTTGCGCAAGAAAAAATCCGGGAACCCAGGATTTGCAGAAAGAACTGAGCTTTTTGCAGGTCTACAAATGGGTTCTTTGCGGAAGAAAAAATCCGGGAACCCAGGATTTGCAGAAAGAACTGAGCTTCTTGAAGGTAGGACTTGTAGAGATCCCAATGGAGGGTCCAATGATGCTTAGGGCTTTTCGAACATGTAGTATGCCGCTTCAAATTCCGATTCTGTAAACCCACTATCTTGATGCGTCAAATTCATCGCGCTCAAAGAATATACCACCACTCGCGAGAAGCGGATACCCTCTCGTCTTTTCTTCAAGATCTGGAAGCACTTTCAAAGGATCTGAAGCTTCGGTTCCTCAAAAACAATCCTCTATCTCGCGTGACCTTCTCGAAAACCCCCACCGCCTCCCAAAATCCATCAGGAATCAGTGGCTCTTCCTCTGATTCTCTGGTTCACTCCTGTCTTTCTTCCGAGCCAATATGGTTCATCTGGCCGCATCCTGCTGTCAAAGTCAGCCCTCGAGCGGGTTTCAGGTGACAACCTCCAGTTTCCGACCGCGACAAATCAAAATCATGGGCGCTCATTGAACTGCAACGATCGCTGCAGCCAAGATTTTAATTTGTGGGTCTTGTTGATCGCTCGAATCTTCCGCAGAGTTCCCTTTCCTCCCAAAAAAACTCCAGAGGCGCAAAGGCAAAGGAAGAAAGGAAAAAAAAAAAAGAACGAAGCCAGCGGGCTTAGAAGACACCCCCAAATTCCAAGGATCCGACCTTCCTCTCAAATGGCTGTGGTTGTCGAAACTCAGGAAACCCCTGGTGAACATCAAAATAGCTGGCAAATGGATGTTCCACCCCAAAATGGGTGTGGCTCAAATACATGTACCAAAATGGCCCCCTTGGTCAATGGAAAAGACTAAAACCTGCCTACTCCTTCCCGATTCTTTCTTTGGCCACCGCCCAATGGCTCGCCCCAAATTCCGTCCCGGCACGGCGCGAACCAAACTCCGCCATCCGGGGCCCCGTGCTCTTCAGCGTCTCGGACTCCGAAGACTTTTTGTCCGTCTGGAAAAAAGAAGAAGAAAAAAACCGGCCGCGCCAGGGGAACGCCCAAGGCCCCGAAAAGGGGAGGGGGTTGTTGACCGGGCCAGGAAACGCCCAAGGGGAACGCCCACGGCCCCGAAAACTCTCACAAAAGAAGGAGGGTCCCCCTTTTTTTGTTGGGGGGGGAAGTCTCACTTGCAGAAGACCTGGAAATGATGGTTCAGCTCTTGTCGTGAGTAACCTCAATCAGCAATTGATTCGGGTGGTGTCCCAACAAAACCCTGTGGGATCTGGGATGGACATAGAAGCAGAACAAAAGGCGGATATCTCACAAAAGCCCAAAGGACCTGGACATAAAAGGCGAAAACCTGCTGGCATGACTAAAACTACAGCAAACTGGAAAACCGAAAAAGGTCAGCGTGGGCACTCCTTTCAAGTTGGCTCAAAATCACTTGAGCAGTTGGCGATTTAGATTGGTGGTGGAGGCTAAAAGCAGCTTCCCATTAACTGCACCCTCTCAACAGCCAGCGGTTCAAATCAGCAAATCACCAATTCCCGATTGGCGGCAACCTGACAAAAGGTGATGTTTGAAGTTTAAGCCAACGGAAAGGGGAAATATACGCTAAGTTGCGCTCTCCTTTCTCCAGACGCCATAAACCCCACAAACAAACACAGCTGGGCGGAAAAACGCAATTCGCAACTGGCTATCCAGGCAGCCCATGTGTCCCGCCTGACCAAGCCCTCTTGCCACCAAAAAATGTGCGTTTTCCCGAGGCTTGGTCCAAACTTTGTGGTGTATGGTCACTGTAGGGTTCGAGGATTAGCAAAGAACGAGCCACAGGCAGGACACCTGGGACATCCCCTCTTTCCAACAATGGACGTGCACCATGTCCGATAATGGAAGACTACCATCCTCTTGATAAGGCCCCATGTCCATTCTCATGGGTCCCTTGTCCACTAAACCATTGTCGCAACAAGTTAAAGGTTGAACCGTTCAAAATGCAACCAAATAGAAGCCAGGCATTCTTCCTACGCCAACTGATGCAAGCTCTAGAGGGGGGCTTTGTATACCTTCAACATTCATATACCTCTCCCATATCCGGAATGAGAACGCAAAAAATATGTCTCTCAGCCACTCCTTGGGTTTTTCCCCCACTGCGCCTCTCCCTTCCTTTCGAGTTCGATTGATCGATCTGCGCGAGCCTTGGCGGACAGCTTGTCCTTCTGACTGCTGAGCTCCTCCACCTTCGCCTCCGAGTTCCAGTGATCGTTTCGCTGGTGGGAAGGAACAAATTGAAGCCAAACAGCCCACGGGCACAGAGCTCGACGGGGAGAGGTTGACCAATATTCCGTTCGTTTCCCACATGGCCAGCTTTTGATTCAACCCCATATGACATTTTGCCTGACAATGATGGGCGCGCGCTTCTTGAGGGAACCCTTTTTGGGGTTGCGTTCGACTTTCCTCTGACAAAAGGTTATGCCCTGGCATGTAGGCTTCATGTTTCAGCGTAGAGCCCGAGACCCGCAGAGCGCCAACCCCAAAATGGCGGCTTGTCCGATGTGACTGCCCAGATCTGGAAGGACACTCAGAGATTAGTGGGGTAGAGGAGCAACCATATTCAAGGGGCAGGGGATCATCTGCGCACACAAATCTGGATCATCTGTACACACAGGCTTTCCTCACTTATTGCGCCATGCACTCTGGATCATCTGCGCACACAAGGTTTCTGTCATCTGGCTCATCTGTACACACACACACTTTTGGCAGGGTGGGGGGGTGGGGGGGGGGGATTGGTAAGCACACCCGCTCAAGTGCGCCCGCTCAGCACTGTGGGGGGGGGGGGGTGGTGGGGGGGAGGGGGGAATGGTAAGCACACCCGCTCAAGTGCACCCGCTCAGCGCTGTTTCCACGCATGCGGAAGAGTAGCCCGAAGGGGTGGGGGGTGGGTGGGGAGGCGGGGGAATGGTAAGCACATGCCTGCCACCTAATAAGCATACCCGCTCACGTGCAACAGATGGGGTGCGGTATTGGGGAAGGGTGGGGTGGGGGTGGGGGCTGGGGCGGGGCGGGGTGGGGCACACCCGCTCACGCGCGTCCGCCTAGCGCTGCATCCACGCTTACCACCTAATAAGCACACCCGCTCACGCGCGCCCGCCCAGCGCTGCACGCATGCCTGCCACCTGATAAGCACGCCCACTCACGTGCAACACATGCCTGCCGCCTTAATGAGCGCCTGCTCAGGGTGGGCTGGGCTGGGGTCAGGCTTTGGGGAGGTTGGGGTGGGGTGGGGCACACCCGCTCACACACGCCCGCCCAGCACTGCGCACATGCCTGCCACCTAGCAAGCGCACCCGCTCACGCGTAACAGATGGGGTGGGGTATTGGGGAGGGGGGTGGGGTGGGGGTGGGGGTGGGGGTGGGGGTTGGGTCCGGGGTGGGGCACCTGCTCACGCGCGCTCGCGCAGCACTGCATTCACGCCTCCCACCTAAAAAGCGCACCCGCTCACGTGCACCCGCCCAGCACTGCGTGCATGCCTGCTACCTAGCGCACACCCGCTCGCGCGCAACAGACGGGGTGGGGTCTTGGGGCTGTCAACATGCGGCTGTCAACGCCCCTGTCCCTTCTTGTGCATAGCAGTAAGCACTGCGTGTACAAACGATCCGGGGCAAAAAAGGCCCGCGTGCAGAGACGATCCGGTCCCGCGTGTGCAGACGATCCGAATTCCGCGTGTACAGACGATGCACTGACCATATTCAAGGATCAAAAAAGTAACTCTCATAATCTCGGTGGCCGCGGAAGAGCTGCTTTTCCTAGAGGTTTGTCAGGACGCGTTTGACAGCATTTGGCATTTGCTAGCAAAATGCGAACCAGCACGGAAAGTGCTGCTTTAGGGTGGGTTGGAATAGAACTGTTTGGTGGTGGTTTTTGGTTAGGGTGGCTTAGGGGCTTAGCTGGCTTTCGGATTTAGGGTCAGCCGAGGGTGGTGGGTTATTTGGGCGGGGTTAGGGTTGCTCTAGGGTTGGTTTAAGTGTGGGTTTAAGGTGGGTTTAGTGTGGCTTAGGCTGGGCTGAGTGGGTTTTACTCTTGCTTCAGGGCGGCTTTAGGATTGGTAAAGGTGGGCTCGTTTTGGTTCAGGGCTGGCTGAGATTTGGTTTGGGGCGGGCTCCAAGCTTTCGTAGGGTTTAGGGTTGGTGGAGGGTGGGTTTAAGGGTTTTTCAGTGTGGCTACAATGATTTATTAGACTGCTTATGACCCTGACATAAAAACTTGTGCTTGATGCGCGTCCCCTGTTTGATGGCAAGCCTGGCATTCCATGTAAGTAACCTTGCGGAATTGCCAACAACGCTCCTGCGAAGCCCTCGCTCAAGAACGTTCTAAAGAACCCCCCTCATGATGCCACCCGTGAAGCCTGGGAAGATTTCCCAAGTTGTGATGTCTAGGTTCGTACGTGAACAGGTTCAAGTCCGAATGCGTTCCCTTGCCAATCAAAATCAATAATAAAAAAAACTTGGCGCTCTTTCCATTTGAGATCTGGTATTGGGTTAGAGTCTCGAGTCAAAGTAGATGCTTACCTTAATAAGGGTAAAACAGATGCGGTCACCAGTTGGGGGCGGAGGCAACAGTCTTAGCGAACCTACGACGAACCCAAAGTACCTAAGCGAACGTTTGCGAACCCGCTCCTTGTGAACATGGCAGGGGATTGAACTGCCAAAGTCATGCCCGAACGCAGGGGTGCTTAGCTAGGCTGCCAGGGCTTCGCCAAGCCGGCGCCGCCTCTGGCAGGACCTGGCCAGACCTGTGGGTTTGCGAACCTTGCGATTTCCCGCTAAAGTTTGCGAAGGTTTGCGAACCCCATTTTGGGCTTGCGAACCCGGCCAGGCTTTGCGAACTTTGCCTCGAACCCCCAACAAGTTTGCGAACCTGTGCACATGGTCATGGCCTGCCCCCCCCCCCAGTGGTGACCACATCCGTTTTGCCCTGACTTAAAAGTTAACACACACACACACACCAAATGTTTTCCACGCTGAACAAATGCAACAAATGCGCAGCGCTGAACATGAGCCGTCAGGGCCAAAATGATGCGCGGGCAACAAACACACGTGCCCCTTAAAGGCTGAACGCGAGACCTTGTTTGCAGTTTGGGATATGTTGTGGCTTGTCTTGCCTTTGCGCCGTCAGCGCGTTTGGTTCAAAGAAGGTTTGTCAGCTGTCATCCCATCCTATTTCCAGCACAAGGAGGTTATTAGCTGATGGATTGGAACTTGCCACCCAGCCACCCTCAGCCAGCCAGCCACCCAAACAGACAGACGGACGGACGGACGGACGGACAAACAGACAGTCAGACACCCAAACAAACAGACATTCCCCCAATGGTCACACCCAAACAAACAAACAAACAAACAAACAAACAAACAAACAAACAAGATACTTCACTTCGAGCAATCCCCACCCTCCACACTCACGAGCTTACGACCGTGAACACGGTTGTGTGAATTCAAGCGCGGTTTTTGAGTGGCTTGGGCCCTATGACTGCTCAACAAGCCTTGCAGTGAGCGCCTTATCCACCTGTCTGTGTGTCAAACTCCACTTGTCTGCGGGCCGATCTCGAGAACTCACCTCGGTTCCGTTAACAAAAGCCAAGCCCCTTCCAAAAAGAAACCCGACGGGGGATTAAACGAAGTTGCTTATTCACAACCCAAAGCAACACAAAAGCATCAAGACATGAAGGCACCAACATGAAGCGTAAACCCAACTGTGCGGGCGGGACATTAAGCAAACCGTTCTGACCCACTGGCGAATACTGGCGAGCCGCTCCGGCTCGATACTGGCCGCACACTGGGCAGGATCCACCGGCAAGGGATGCTCGGCGGGATCCACTGGCGAGCTACTCTGGGAACTCAGCCCCACTGGCGGGCTGCTCTGGTGGGATACTTGGCGGGATCCGCTGGCGAGTCCAGTGGCGAGCTAGTTTGAGATACTCAGCGGGATACTCGGCGGGATCCACTGGCGGGCTGCTCTGATGGGATGCTCGGCAGGATCCACTGGCCGGGGGGATCCACTGACGAGCTACTCTGCGATACTCAGCAGGATACTCGGCGGGATCCACTGGCGGTGGGATACTCGGCGCGACTTGGCGGGATCCACTGGCGAGCTGGCCGGATACACTTGGCGGGATCCACTGGCGCGCCGCTCTGGCGGGATACTCGGCGGGATCCACTGGCGAGCAGCTCTGGCGGGATACTCGGCGGGATCCACTGTCGAGCTGCTCTGGCGGGATACTCCGGCGGGATCCACTGGCGAGCTGCTCTTGCGGGATACTGGGGTGGGGGCGTGGTGTAGAAGCATCGCAAACGCGGATTCCAACATAAAATCTAACAACCCCTTCCTGTCGGGTGGGGAGCAAACAAACAAACAAACAAACAAACAAACAAACAAACAAACAAGCAAGCAAGCAAGCAAGCAAGCAAGCAAGCAAGCAAGCAAGCAAGCAAGAAGCAAGCAAGCAAGCAAGCAAGCAAGCAAACAAACAAGCAAACAAGCAAGCAAGCAAGCACAAACAAACAAACAAACAAACAAACAAACAAACAAACAATCAATCAATCAATCAATCAATCAATCAATCAATCAATCAAACAAGCAAGCAAGCAAGCAAGCAAGCAAGCAAGCAAGCAAGCAAGCAAGCACACACAACACAATAGACGGGTTGGTTCAGGGTGGGTGTAGTGTTGGCTTACGCTGGGCTTAGTGGGGTTTCAGGGCTGGTTTTGGGGTTGGTTTGGGGCCGGTTTAGGGTGGGCTTAGGAAAGGAGCTGGTTTAGGGTTTGGTGTAGGGTGGGTTTGGGCTTGGCTTGTGATTGGTTTAGGGCGGGGGTTTGGGTGGGTTTAGTCGCGGTTTAAGCTGGGTTTTAGTGGGGGTTTAGGGTTGGCTTAGGGCGGGTTCAGGGTGGCATATAGTGCTGGTGTAGTGTGAGTTTTTGGGCGGGAGTCTAGGGTTGGGAAACAGTTTGCGAACTGGCGCTCTCCCCCGAAGTATTGCTTCAACTTGCCAACGGCCCCCAGCGCAGCGGGAGGGACATTAAAAAAAACAAAATGGTTTATGATCCGGAAAAATATGTTGATCCTAAAAACCCATATACAAATCCATAGATATGTGTTGTTTTGATCCGGACATACTTTTCGTTGATTCCCGAGTTCTGTGCCAGTCGGAAGTTCCAAGTGCCGTTCGTGCCAAGACCTCCTTTCAGGTGAGGGTATCCTTTTGAGCTTAAAGAGAGCTTCAGCCGGGACAGCATTCTTTTTTTTCGGGGGGGTCTCCCCCTAGTTTGACACATCCCAGCAGCTTCGTGTAGAAAGGAGGGGCTCTTTGGGCCTTCCATGCGGATCACACCAGACATCCCCGGAACCCCAAAAGGTCGCAACAAGTCGTTGGGCTGCGCAACTCGCCTCAGGTCTTTGGTCGGTTGGGGGGTGACCAAATGTGTTGCCAAGGGGAAGCCTCAAATGGGTCTGGCTCAAAGTGAAAGAGCTAGGGTTGCGCGAATTTTAGCCTTTGTTGCCATTTACCAAGGAGCCATGTTGGGTACAATTGTTTGAATGGAAACCAAGCGGCCGAAGAGCAAGACACACCCATATGATACCATATGGCCATGGGTCAAAGCCCGTACCCCCAGTGAACATCCCAATCCAACCACTAAAAATAGGTGCCATGGGTGGTGAATTCACCAATCCCCAGCTTCACCAATCCCCAGCCAAAATGGGATCCCAAAACCAAAACGGCTTAACGACCCACCCACAGCCATATTCCGATCCTTGGTCTTGGTCTGCTCCTCCTCGCAGTAGGCCTTCTTGGTCTCATCGGCCGCGGCCTGGCAAGCAGTGCCCTCCCAAGTCCTCGAGTCAGCTCTCCTTTTAGGATGGAAATTGATGGGTGTGGCAATCAAAATCAAACCATCGGAGGGGCTGGCAAACCGCAGGAATTTTGGTACCCAGGTTTCCACTTACCGATCGGGCAACCCGTTTTGGAATCTCCGGTTTTTTGAATTCGCCACAGCCAGATGGATTTGCCTGGTAGATGATGCAACCAGGTAAACCAGGAATCAGAACCCATCGATTTTTCGACCAGAACAACCAACAAGCATACCTATGCTCGAGTCGTGTCAATTGACGCATGCGAAATTGGAGAGATTCACCTTTCACAAAGTAGGTAACACCCTGAGATCGCTTCTATCCCCAAGACAGGCGGTGCCTCATATTCACCGTCAAAGGGAGTGGTTTGGGGGGAGTGGAAAACATCTGCAACAATCTCTGAAATCTGAAGTGACCTCAGCCTCATGGGACGCAAAGCCTTGCAGCCTCGCTCTTTCAGCAAACGGAGGGTTTACACACACAGAACACAATCTGTGAAAGTGTATGCGCTGGGTGTGCAAAGATTGGGCAGCCCGTTGCGACGATGTTTCAAAGGGATGCCAATTCACAAAGTCGACCCCACTTTTCAGGCCCCTCCCTCCGTGCCACTTGGATAACACTGAAAACTGAAAAGTCCGCCCAAAAAGCATAAAGCATCCGTCGGTGCAATTTCAAGGGAACAAAAAGAAAGTCGTGTTTGGTGAGCCTTTGAGCCTTTGAACCCAGAAGCCCACCTTTGTGCCCAACCCCATGGGGATTTTTGCCGGTACAGCCGTTTCTTGATAGGTTGGGAGTTGCAGCCATGGTCCTGGAATTGTCCACACTTTCTCTAAGGCCATGCCGTATTGCCCCACTTCAAGTGGAGCAACTGACAGAAACTGGCCCTTCTCCCAGCTTCCAAAACCCCCACCCCCCCCCCCCCACCAGCCCGTTTTCGCCTCCTCCTTCCGGGAGGTAATCATGTTCTGAATCAGCTCCTTCACCTCGCGGATCCCGACAATCTATACTATTTAAAATATTATAATATAGTATATGTGTTTGTTCCTAATGAGAAATCATAATAATAATAATAATAGTAACAATAATAATAATAATAATCATAATAGAAGAAACAAAGGAAGCACACATGGTGCTTTTGTCTCACATGTTTTCTGTAAGAAAAAAACAAAAGCATGGGTGTGGATTTGGATGGGGGACCCGAAATGGTGGGGAGTCGAGTCATGTCCACTAACCCTCGGTTCCAATTCTTGATTTTGTTTTGGCCAAATAGATTTGGGCGCGAATTTTGCCGGGTGCCGGACCCTTGTCCCCAAACACTTCGAAAGCTGGTTCAACGCGGTGGAACCCGACAAAACGCGCGTGGCGTCTCTCCTTTTTGCTCGACCTGTAGACAAAACAAGAAGCATCCAAGCGGAATCAGGTTTCACCCCGAGAAACGTGGCGGAGCCCAAAAAAGGCAGGTTTGGTTTCTTTGCGTTTGCCTTCAGGGAACGAAAGCAGGTCACATGTTGGATATTCCCATCCCGCGATTTGACAAAGCCCTGGGCAACTGGCTGGACAACTCTCGCTGAAACTTGATGCCTCATTTCAGCGGGTCCATGTCCAGACCCATTTCCAGCTGCGAAGCCCCTCTGACAACCCTTGCCTTGGCAAAGACGTCCGAGGGAGCTTGGCCTTGCGATCTGGGAGCTTTCGGATCTTTTGTTGTGGCTGCGGTCGAAAAGCAAATGAGTCAAAATCAAAACCTGGTACTAATATGGTCCAAGCCCAGAACC